ACGGTGGCCACACGGCACCGCCCCCCGAGGCTGTGTCAGTGTGTCCCCGCCAGGCGTCAGCAGCTCCCGCTGCCAGAAGTTATATTTTTCAGAAAACATGCCGCTATCTCAGGAACTATGATAGCTAGAAAAACGCATGGAAAAGCAATCGATAGCTTTTATTTAAACTCTTCTTTTATATGGTCATCATCAAAATTGACCTCAGGTCAACGGTTAAGCCTCCATAGGTCAATCATTGTGAAAATAGCTGTTTTTGGATAAAACTTTTTTTTCACGAATAGCTTTTGAACCAGCAAAGATGAAGAATTGGCAATGGCACTATGGTGTTTCTCTCCTTTAGTCGCTTCGAAAAAATATAGGTATTATTTAACTGGAAAGGTCAAGGTCAATATTTTACCTCAGGTCAAGGTCACGTGGTGACCTAAATAGGTCATGTTCCATATCATTCGATGCGTCTCGACAAGATAAACACAATGAAGCCATCCCCAGCGTTCTATCTCTATCCAATCGAGAGTTATTGGCAAAAATGTTTGTAGCCTCAAATGACTTCGGAGGCTATCAGCAAAAAAAAAAAAAGACATCTTGATCGTTACGGGTGGTCCAAATCATTGTGATTCTGAAATATTTGGACTGTTCCTATGCGTACACACGGATCTAGGGACATTTTCATTTTCCTTCATTGACTTATAGGTAGGTAATGAAAAGGTCACGCCATTGACCTGACCTTAGGTCACGGATATAAAAAACCGAAATAAACATATTAGGGGAAGCGGGGGGAGCACCGCCACCTTAAGCATTTCTGCTCACCGAGCTGATATGCGTAGTAAAAACGAAGCTCTTTTGCATTCATGTGAAAGTAGGAATGTTTTCCTACATGTTGGCATAGTTTCCAGCGCTCCATTATAAAATTTCGCTACTTTACAGATATTGAAAACAAGTCCTGCATTTTCCGTCCTCCAAAAAATGTGCGGGTAGCACCGCCAATGATGGCGATGTTATCCACAGATCGGCCTTACGGTGACAGCCACCCTTGGAAGCGTTACTGCTGTCTGAAATAGTAACTCAAACTCATATAAGACACACAAGAGTTGGTTGTTAGTTTGTCACAGATCAGACTGTTTGTTGCGGACAATATGCATACAAAGCATGACAAATTCACGTTTATTTCGAAACATCCAGTGAAGTCAAACGTGAGGTTAAAAAACAGACGACGTTTGCGGCCTAGCTAAAGCTCTTCTCCGAGCTGAGTGAATTATCATTGCGGCTTTATCCATTTTGCCACCCCTTGGGGTAGCACCGCCGAGCATGGCGGTGTTACCCACACACAGTCATGGACCGACAACGCCCCGACGGGAAAACAAGCCGGGACGCGATTCTTCTGTAATTCCTTTCTCAACGAAGAGCACTTCATGCCCTCAAATTTAACGTAAAAATCAAGGCATTTTGACTTGAAATGACCACTTACTTGCTGCTAAAACATGCCAAATGATTACAACGATGGTTTGAAATTCACAAAATGGGCAATTGCGATCTCAAAATCAAATAAATCTTAGCGAAACCTACCTCACGCGGTGTCCCGTTTCCGTTCGGACACCGAAATGGCGGGTGTTTACATTTACAATTCAGAGTTTTGCCGATAGAGAGGATGGCGGTGTTTCCCACATGGCGGTGCTACCCCCGCTTCCCCTATAGGCGCCCATAACAGCATGCAATCCACCAAGTTTAAAAACTCTCAGACAAACACTGCAGGCTGGACATGATTGCAAACTTTTTTAGGTTTGGTCAGTTAACCCGGCAGTTGCTGGGGTATTTCGCCACCCACCGTTTGCTGGGGGGGGGGGGGCGTTAAACGCCCCCAGCCGATAACTCGAGAACCAATAGGCGCAGCGAAACGCACGAGGCGGCAAACGAAAGAACGTGACGAGACGCTTCAGATGAGTACTTTAAAGTTGAATTTTGAGGTCACAGGTCGGGTCAAGGTCAGGTCAAACACCTGAAATCGGGCTTTCAGTAGCATTGACTTCAGGACTTCGCAATGGGCGCCTCTCGTCATAATCTCTGTCAAAACGGTGCACAATCCATCATATAAGTCCTACAAGAGTGTCAGCTCCATGTAGGGGTCAGTCAAGCATAGGTCAGGGTCAAGGTCAGGTCAACCAGGTAGGCACATATCCCCGAAAATCAAAACTGATATTCGCAGCCTGTGACACATGTTTTATGGGTAATTTGGGGCGTAGAACACGATGGTGACATTCATTTTATCATATGTGTACGTGTTTGGCTCAAAAACTTGAATTTAAGAAATTCATGTATCATGGTCGTGAAGGAGTCACGAGAAATTGCCAAGATTCAGTTCAAGATTTTGGAAAATGCGGAACAATAATCAATAATCGAAGATAGCCATTTGATTGTTCATGGTATTGGCAGTCTAATGGCGTTTACGGCATGTCTGTATGTCTATTCTATGATTTTATATGATTTTTTGAACATATGCTGTTTTTGGTCGAAAACTCAGAAATCATGACGTCACTAAAACCTCGATATCTCAAAAATTTTCCGACCGATTTTTTTGAAACTTTGTCACAATAAACTTCAATCAATTCCCTACAGGTAACCAAAATTTGGGGCGCCTGCGGCGCGCCGTTTTTATGCTATGGCCCGGCGAAAAAAGTGGGGGCGTTTAACGCCCCCCCCCCCCCAGCAACTCGCGGGTTAACTTGACCTGGTGATCTGACATGACATGACCTGGGGTCAAAAATCATCACACAATCATAAACCTTGCCTTGCTCAACTCACACAACGCTGACCTGGCCGGGGCCGTTCGTCGCCCGGCTAAGCATTCAATGATGGGTTGCTCGGCGGGCGGATGGCGGGCGGACATGTCTGACGTTTTATGTGCTGTGTTTTGTTATGTTGTATGCTTACTCTATGTAATCATTTATCTGCACTCTTAACAGTATGTTGTTTCTTCTCTGCTGACGTTTTATGTGCTATGCTATGTTTTTGTTATGTTGTATGCTTAGGGGAGAGTGGGGTAAGATGCCCAGGGTGGGAAAGACGCCCCACCCCCTCTAGCGGCGAAACAAAGAATCGAACCTGGAAATTAATGTTCTTAGCGTAAAGCGGAAGCCTGCCTTGTTAACTGCACAAAAATTTGCGAGGCTCAGTTGGGCAACGGCTGGCTGATCATTGCATGTTTTTTATTTGCTGCTTTCAAAAAATATTTTGGTGTCAAAACATTGTAAATATCAAAGAAGGTAGATAATTTTTGCGTCCCTTGCTATAGTCGTGATAAATTAACATGCGTGTACTGTGTCCCAAACAGTTTGTTTTATGGGGTAGTTTTATGGCTAACAAATTGTACTGATTTAATGTTACCTCGGTACCTTGGGGTAAGATGCCCCCTGTCCTGATGGGGAAAGACGCCCCCCTAAATCCGTAGGCTGTCCTTCAAGCAGCCCGTCAAATCATTTATTACATACCTGTGATGAGAGACAAAAGCCGATCTGGGACTATTGAGAGTCCAGTACGGTCGGGTGCTCCCCATGCCGGTCTCTCGGCCCACACAGCGAGTTTTCGGGCGGCATCTGACTCTGAGAGCCCTTACGATGGCCTCTGTGGGCCACATTATTGGCTCCAGGGCCCCTCACGACATCCTTTGAGGGCTCCCACGTTGGCTCCACGGGCCGCGCTGGCATCTGAGGTCCCCACGATGGGCTCGAGGGCCCTCAAGCATCATGAAGACCTATAAGGGCCCCACAGTGGTCTCCGAACGCCACCACGGAGGCTTGTTTGGCCGCGCTGGACTATGATGGCCCTAACGATGACCTCTGAAGCCCCTTACGACTACTTTTGAGGGCCCTTACGATGACGTTTGGTGTGTACTGCAGGCCCGAAGGGACTACTGATTCGTTCAGGCGATTCACGTGCCCATTTATGTCACTTATAGTGCAGGGGGCATCTTACCCAACGCCAGGGGGCGTCTTTCCCACCCTGTGGGGTAAGATGCCCCCTTTCACTTCTTCGGGAAAATGCTTAATAGCAAAAAAAGTTATCATATTTCAAGCACGAAAGTGCGATATTTTTGGAGAAAAATGATGTCGGCTTCCGTTGAAACTACAAGTTTTTGCTTTCCGATCGTCATTTTCGAATAATATATGACATAGTAAAACCCTGGGCATCTTTCCCCACTCTCCCCTACTCTAGGTATGTAGGGGAGACCGGGGAGAAGTGGGACATTATTTTGACGTCAACTTTGAAAAAAAATCGTAAAAAATAGGATATTTAAGATTTAAGTAAATTGATTGCAATTTGCATTCACTGGTAAACGATTTATTTCTACTTGATTCTTTACTTTTTTATGCGTGTTTGTTCACGTCTTACTTTTCAAATTTAAAATTTAGGAAAGGTTGACAATGGGGTGAACTGGGGCACGTCCAGGAGAAGTGGGACAGATGATGTTGTAGTGTCTACATGCATTGTATTTCGTTGTCTCGTTCGGCCTGTTCTAAGCTAACTATTGTCTTTTGCGCGCCGTTATTGTACGATTTTCATTTTGTAAACATTCCGTCAAATACTTTTCTTTTGTTGTTCTAACATGAAACTCAAATCGCTCTTGCTCTGAGTGTTTCCACGACGATATTTATTATGCTTTATTTTGTGTCCTCAAAGTATTATCGTGAATTTATTAGAATAGCCGAACTGCCCATCTGCGCCTATTTTTTGCCTTGTTAAATGGTTTTTTGTTTCGTAATTGTGGCAACGCTGTCGTTATCCCTTCTTCTCGCGCGCTGCCGCCTCGTGTTGTTGTCTTGCTGGATCTGGTGTGATTAACGTGCGTCAGTTAAAAAACATAAAGCATTTCAATCATCTTAACTCTTTTTCTGAGCCCTACAGAGTAACTTGCGAACACGTACTGGCCTCTCACGCCAACAGTGGTGACCCTCACGACGTTGTTTTGTTTTTTGAGGCGAACCTGACGCATCGACCGACGCCACGCCATGCCTGGCCCAGAGGAGGTGGAGACTACGGCTCCAGCGGCTTCAGCTCGAGCCCCTGCCACGCTGCGCCTCCCTCCATTCTCTGCATCAGAGCCAGAGCTGTGGCTTCTGCAGGTGCAGTTTGCGTTTGACGCAGCTGGCATCTCTGACGACCTGGCTCGCTTCCGGATCCTGGCCGCCAACCTGCCCATGGAGGTGGCACGAGATGTGAAGGACAAGCTGATGACCAACCAGCCCTCGTATGCCTGCCTCACTAAGGCACTGAAGGACAGGATGATGGAGACCCGGGCCGAGCGACTTCAGAAGCTCCTCCAACACCAGCACCTCGGAGACCAGAAGCCATCACAGCTCCTCCGCAGAATGAAGGCAGAGCTGGGCTCAGATGGTGCAGACGACAGCATCCTGAGGCAGCTGTTCCTCAACCGCTTGTCGCCTGTCACCAGGGCTGCTGTCGCCATCCTGCCAGATGATGCCCGCCTGGAAGATGTCGCCACTGCTGCAGACCGCTTCCTGCAAGCACAGCGGGACACGGAGAACAGCCCGTTGGCTGCACTCTCCACTGGATCTGCCCCGGCTCAGGAGGCTGAAGGGACAGCCACCCTCGCCTCCCTCCAGACCACGATCGCTGCCCTGACAGCATCAGTGGCGCGACTGGACGCATCTTTGCAGGCGCGGCCACGAGAAGGTGCTGCTGCTGCCAGCCCACCGCCCTTCCGCCGGAACCGCAGCCGATCCAGAAGCCGCAACCAGGCGTGCTTCTACCATGCGAAGTTCGGTGCTGCTGCCCGCAAATGCAAGCCACCATGTTCCTTTGCGGGAAACTCTCAGGCCTGAGGATGCCGGCGCCGCCGCCCTCAGGCCATCACCAGCCGGCGCAGCTGCTTCACGTCAAGGACGGCACCATGTCCTTCCTGGTGGACACTGGCGCCATGCTGTCAGTGCTGCCGGCTCAGCACCTCCCAGAGGGGTGCCGCATGGATCGAGCAGCGACACCGCTGCTCACTGCTGCAAACGGAGCTGCTGTAGCCACTCACGGCTACACCACACACGTCGTGCGCATCGGCCAGCTGGAGCTGCCCTGGAGATTCCTGGTTGCTGAGGTCACCCTGCCCATCATCGGAGCAGACTTCCTGGCGCACCACAGGATCTCTGTCGACCTGGCTGAGCGTGCCCTCCGAGCTGGGGATGGCACTGTGCTCGCCACTGCAGGTGACCCGTCCGGCCCTGTGACGCTCCACAGCCTCCGAGACGGACGGTTCGACGGACTCTGGGATGAGTTCCCTGGGGTCACTCAGCCCTGCCCGACGGCCTCGGCTCAGCACGGCGTCACCCACCACATCCAGACGACTGGCCCACCGTCTCACAGCCGACCGCGCCGCCTGGCACCTGATCGTCTGGCTGTCGCCCGGGCGCACTTCGACCGCCTGCTGGCAGACGGGGTCATTCGTCCTTCCAAGAGTCCCTGGGCTGCACCACTGCACATGGTGCCCAAGGCGGACTCAGGAGACTGGAGACCATGTGGGGACTACCGGAACCTGAACGTGCAGACCCTGCCTGACCGGTATCCAATCCCGTACCTCCGGGATTTCACTGCACAGCTGCACGGCTGCACTGTCTTCTCAGCGCTCGATCTCAAGGCGGCCTACCATCAGGTCCCCGTGGAGCCTGAGGACGTCCCGAAAACGGCAGTCACCACCCCGTTCGGGCTCTTCGAGTTCGTGAAGATGCCGTACGGTCTCCGGAACGCAAGCCAAACATTCCAGAGATTCATCGACAGCGTCCTGCGGGACGTTCCGGCTACGTACGCCTACATCGATGATATCCTGGTGGCAAGCAAGACCCCCGAGGAACACCTGCAGCACCTCCGGCTCGTGTTTCAGCGCCTCGAGAAGCACGGGCTCGTCGTGAACCGACAGAAGTCCGTCCTGGGCGTCCCACAGCTGACCTTCCTCGGGCATGACGTGTCGTGTGACGGCATCACCCCGCCTGCCACGCGCGTCGCTGCCATCCGGGAGTTCGCGCAGCCGACCACCGACCACGAGGTCTCCAGGTTCGTCGGCATGGCCTCCTTCTATCATCGGTTCATCCCGAACGCTGCCGCGCTGCTGCAGCCGCTGGCAGCGCTCCTGCCGAAGAAGCTCAGCCGGAAACCACGGCCGGTGGTGTGGACAGACGGCGCCGACGCTGCCTTCAAGTCCGTCAAGACTGCGCTGTCTGACGCGGTCCGCCTCGCCCATCCGGTCCCTGGAGCGCCCCTGAGCCTCCAGGTGGACGCCAGCGACACCGGCGCGGGAGCGGTCCTCCAGCAGTACGTGTCCGACTGCTGGCAGCCTCTGGGATTCTTCTCCCGCCGGTTCAAGCCTGCTCAGACAAGATACAGCACCTTCGGCCGCGAGCTGCTCGGTGCGTACCTGGCGGTCCGACACTTCCGGCACGCGCTTGAAGGTCGTGAAGTAATAATCTTCACAGATCACAAACCGCTGACCTCGGCGCTCACAGCCGCCGGTGATCGGTACTCACCACGGGAAACCAGACATCTTGACTTCGTGGCTCAATTCACCAGCGACATCCGACACGTTCCCGGGTCGGAGAACGTGGCCGCAGACGCCCTCAGCCGGACGGACGCGATGCTGTCCGCGCCGCGCCTGCCTCTGCACGACTTCGCAGCCATGGCGGCGGCCCAGCAGGAGGATTCTGCACTGCAGGATTTTCTCCGTGGCGAGCACTCTCTCAGAGTTCGCCGCGCGGGGCTGCCGGACGGCTCCGCGCTGCTGATCGACGAGTCGACTGGCTCTCCGCGCCCGCTCGTCCCGGAGCCCCTCCGCCGACCGGTGTTTCGTCAGCTGCACAGCCTGGCGCACCCGGGCGTGCGCGCCACTCAGCAGCTCGTCTCAGCTCGGTTCGTGTGGCCCGGTATGGCTGGGGACGTGAAGCGCTGGACTCAGGCCTGCCGCGAGTGTCAGCGGAGCAAGATCACCCGTCACACCAAGTCCCCGCCGGCGCCGTTCCAGCCGCCGGACGGCCGCTTCTCAGTGGTGCACGTGGACCTGGTCGGCCCGCTGCCTCCGTCGGACGGCCACACCTACCTCCTCACCTGCGCGGATCGCTTCACCCGCTGGGTGGAGGTGGCGCCACTGGCTGACATCCGCGCTGACACTGTCTGCCGGCGATTCGTCGAGACCTGGATCTCACGTTTCGGAGTGCCAGACGTGGTCGTCACCGACAGCGGCTCTCAGTTCACGTCAGCCGCATGGGCTGCTCTGTCTGAGCGCCTCGGCTTCACCCGTCGGACGACCACGGCCTACCATCCGTGCTCCAACGGACTCGTGGAGCGTGTGCACCGCACACTCAAGACCGCCCTCTGCTCGGCGGACCCCATCCACTGGGTGGACTCGCTGCCGATGGTCCTGCTCGGCCTCCGGTCTGCTCTCAAAAGCGACCTCAGCTGCTCTTCGGCAGAGCTGGTGTACGGCACTACTCTCCGCCTGCCTGGCGACTTCGTGGACCGTTCTGCCACTGCCCCGCCTCTCGATCCGGCCGCCTACGTCGAAAGACTTCGACGCGCCATGAGAGAGCTGCACCACGTGCCCCCGCGCAGCCCCGAGCGGCCCGTGTACCTGCCGCGGCAGCTGCGTGACGCCTCGCACGTCTACATTCGCCGAGACGGATACAAGCCGCCGCTGGTGCCGCCGTACGACGGCCCGTTCGCTGTGGTCCGTCGGACCGCAAAAACCGTCACCGTGCTCCGGAACGGCCGAGAGGACGTCATCGCCATCGACCGAGTGAAGCCCGCTCTCGTCGAGTCGTCTGGTGGCTCGCCGCCGACCGACCAGTCTGTGCCGCGCCCCTCCCCTGTGACACCCTCTGGACACCAGGGCCCTGAGCTGATCCTCCGCCCGGCTGCACAGCTGCCGCCCGGCCCTCGGCCCGCCACGGCCCCGACCCCCGGCGCGCCGCGTGCGTCTGAGTGTGGACAGAGCCGCAGTGACGTGTGTGACCGTGACCCAGGACTGCAGTCTATCCTCCGTACCCGCCACGGTCGGCTGGTCCGCCCTCCGGCGCGTTACCGTGACTGTGCTCGGCGGGTCACCTTTCAGGGACCCACCTGAGGGGGGGCTACTGTAGTGTCTACATGCATTGTATTTCGTTGTCTCGTTCGGCCTGTTCTAAGCTAACTATTGTCTTTTGCGCGCCGTTATTGTACGATTTTCATTTTGTAAACATTCCGTCAAATACTTTTCTTTTGTTGTTCTAACATGAAACTCAAATCGCTCTTGCTCTGAGTGTTTCCACGACGATATTTATTATGCTTTATTTTGTGTCCTCAAAGTATTATCGTGAATTTATTAGAATAGCCGAACTGCCCATCTGCGCCTATTTTTTGCCTTGTTAAATGGTTTTTTGTTTCGTAATTGTGGCAACGCTGTCGTTATCCCTTCTTCTCGCGCGCTGCCGCCTCGTGTTGTTGTCTTGCTGGATCTGGTGTGATTAACGTGCGTCAGTTAAAAAACATAAAGCTTTTCAATCATCTTAACTCTTTTTCTGAGCCCTACAGAGTAACTTGCGAACACGTACTGGCCTCTCACGCCAACAATGTGGAGAACTGGGACTGGTCAAGAAATGTGATTTAAATGGAATACAATTAAAATTTGATGACCCATTACGAAGAAGACGGTGTTTTAAAAATTGACACTTAAATAAATCACTTCGATTATCTTTTTTGAATTACACTGACAGCACTGAGTATCCTGGAAAAAAATCCATGCATTTGCATGCGGGAGAACTAGGACAAGGTTTAGGCACGTTATGCATTGACACCCACCAAGTGATGAATCTTCTTGCATCACGATTTGGATACACGCTCCCACTCCTCGAGAGCGGCTGGGCCGATTACGCCGACAACTTTGGCACACCGTTACGGCATATGACAAAAGTGCGTTCATTCGGGTCCAGTTTGCATGTGCGCACGGGCAGGATGCCGCTTTTTTATCTCAAGAACACTGAACAGCTGGGCCGATTGCGGCCAAATTTGGCTCGCCGTTATGGATTGACTTGAAGGGTGGCGCGCACTGGGCCCGCACAAGCTTATTGGGGACCTCGCAGCGCACTCGCGCACTTGCAAGTGTCCGTATCGCGCTCGCTCATTTGTCGCTCCAAAAGGCGTCTTGCTGGTTATAACAAGGACAGGATGAGACAATTGTCAGCCCAGATGTGTGATCAATGACCATCCCGCATCTCACATTGTCCTGCCGGTCAAATTCCATTTATAAAATTGTTTTCGCATATGGATGATTCTAACAAAAAGTCAATCTATCGAACTAAAGGAGTTTGGACTAGTGGTGACAATCGGAACTTGAATCTTCGGAATTCCGATTTTGTCCAATGTCCAATTCGGAATTCGGTTGGACAATGACAGCAGGCTTTGGACAACTTTGGACAATCGCTTGCTACACCTCAACGTTTTTATAAAGTAATCGTGTTTAACATTGATTGGCTATTAGAAAGCTCAGCTTTCGATATGATTACCACTTTTGAGCTGGTAACGATAGGGGAAGGTGGGGTAAGACGGACCAGCTAAGGTTTGAGGCCGCATATCTTGCTACACTGCTCTCGTAATTCATATTATTTATAGTCTTCGGAATGCTCAATCCTTCCTCTGTTGATATGTGTAAAGACTAAATTTCAAATTAAAGACATCTAGGTGGTGGATGCTCTTAAAGAGGGACATGTCAAAAACTCAGACAAGAAAAAACGTGGGGTAAGACGGACCACCCAGCAGTGCCTGCTATCCGTTCATGTGTGTTACACTTCTGCTCTGTACTCTTGTAAGAAAAAGTAACCAGAATGGTAAAATAACAAAATGAGCCTTTATTCTTTTCTTATGTGTGATGGAAGTGCAGCTAAAAGCTGGGAACATGTGTGTTGATTGTCGTTTGGCATGAATGCATGCTAACTGAGCACTTGCATGCATGGCTCACATGCAACAAAGACTCCTTCCTGAAAAATTAGCTTGCTTAAACTTGTGTCAATGTTTTGGAAAAGAACTTTCCATATGCAGGGTACAATGGACCACCACAGGGTAAAATGGACCACAGTGGTCCGTCTTGCCCCAAATCTAAATTCTGTCATTATCATGACGTATATGTCAAATAGCCCAACATTGCAAAACCTTGCCTTGCCTAAAGTGTGACTATAACTAAGTTTATAACTTTGTTCTTCATAGTAAAGTGCAAAATAGAAACTAATCATGCAAGAAAGGCGCCGTAATTGAATCACCCGTAGACCTCTTATATTAGATCGGTTTGACGAAAAACAACATTTTTCTCAATAACTCAAAAGCTATGCATCCTAGCAGCATGAGCTCCAAGGTGGCCATTGTTACGAAGGAAAACAAACATAGTGAGTGCATAAAGCAGTAGATACCAGCAGCGGTTCAGCCGGGAGGGCTGGTGGTCCGTCTTGCCCCGCTGGGCCGTCTTACCCCACCTTCCCCTACATTAAAAGCAAATTAAATAACGGTGTTGAGTGTAAACTACTGCGTAGATGTCGGACATCTTTGTACAAATGGCTGGCTTGGAAATTTTTGGACGGACGGTCGACGTAAGTATTGGACATTGGACAGACATTGGACATATGTTTTCTGAAATTGACATCACTAGTTTGGACGCTAATCATGTAGACTCCCTCTTGCAGACGGATGTCGGCACCTCTGTGTTCCCGCACACCACACGCGCATCAACGCCTCAGCACTGATAGAACGAAACGGTTATACCTACTTTTCATCCAAATTCCAAATACATTCTTTCATCGTCTCATTACGTGTGAGGTGCAAATAGTCTTTTAGCTGATATTGACACGACTTTTTACAAGAAAACTTCTACGTAGATATTGCGTAAATACTGGAAGGCACGGTACCGGGATGACCGTGCCGCCGCCGACCCAGTCCGCCGCTCCTGTCCCGTCCCTACCAGCGACCCTCACCGAACGGCGGCGGCGCCGCTCAACCGTGGCCCGCGTCTCGATTACCGCTCCTCGGCCGCGGAAGCCGGCAATAGCCACAATCGGCGGCGGCATCGTCGGCAGCGGCGCGTCGTCAGCGACTCGGCCCTCACTCCGGGTCGCTGGAGCGAGAACCATCTTCGCCGGTATCGTCCCGATAAAAACGGTGCCGACAGCCGCCGGCCGGCCGCTGCGCCGATTGGTTGCCGGCTCAGCGTCTGGACCAATCAGCGAGCGGCTCGTGCCGTTTGCTGACAGAGCACCCCTGTCGGCGCGCGGAGCCGGAGGCGATTACATGAGGCCGGATTTGTTCATCGAGCCGGTCGACTTGCCTGATTAAACTTTTACGAGCTGTCTCAGCGGCCAGATTGGACGGCGCACCGCCTCTGGACACACAGACCGGCGTAAATGTCTGCAGAGAGAGGAAGAGAGGAGAGAGAGGGAGGGAGGAGGAGACATAAAGAGAGAGAGAGAGAGAGAGAGAGAGAGAGAGAGAGAGAGAGAGAGAGAGAGAGAGAGAGAGAGAGAGAGAGAGAGAGAAAGAGAGAGAGAGAGAGAGAGAGAGAGAGAGAGAGAGAGAGAGAGAGAGAGAGAGAGAGAGAGGAGATGGAGGGCATTTGTCCGGGTACCTAACATAGGTCAGGTCACCAGACACCAGGTCATCAGTGACCTCGTTTCTCACCGGTCACCCTCACCTCTCAAGAAAAGGGTGAAGTAAGGAAAGAACGAAAAAGTAGGGATAGCAGCCTAAGCGTTCTTTGAAGAACCTACACCATTTGAACGGTAGGTACGGTTACTTTATCACTTTTTCGATTGATATGGCCAAATAAGAAGGAAGGCCTTCCACGCCTCAATGCCCTATATGAGTATGAATCAAGATAGACCTTCCACGCCTCAATGCCCTATGAATCAAGATACAGGGTCTTTCATAATGTATGTTATTTTTAAGATAGCCATAGCTCAGGTGATATACAATATACATCACAAAGTTATTGTCAATACCCCAATGAAATAACAAATCATGGGAAATTATGTGCACATGACTCGCGTTTAGGTACCCTTCATGGATTTTTAACTGTGTCGCCTCGCTTTCGGACACAGATTTCGGCCCGCTGACGCAAATGATGCACCACGCGCTTCACATCCTCCGCGCACAGCATTGCAGCAAACCTCTCCACTGTGACCTGTAGCTCTATGAGGGTCACTGGAAGGGTCTCTGCTTGGGGCCTCCAAGACGACTGCCCAAAATCAGAAATCCATCGGTGAGAGATCAGGGCTCCAAGCTGGCCATGGCCGCTCAGTGAGATGGCTGATCACTCGTCTGTCAAAGTTGCCATCCAACCAATGGCGTCCAGCCGCCGTTGTGTCACTTCAGCGCCGTCCTGCTGAAACCAGCGGCCTTGTCTTTGAACCCCGCTTGGCACATGAGGCCAGAATTCTTTCTTGAGCAATGAACAGCCTCAGATAAGATGGCCCGGTCACTGATAAGCCAGAAGCAAACCAGTGGACGAAGACCCGCCCGTCGACCACGGCAGCCCAAAACATGACCTTTCGTGCATTTTGTTCCTTGCAGTCCACCGTGACATTCCATGGAATCTGTTCACAATCCTGTGATCATTTTAGAGCGGACATTGTGCTTCTTTTAAAAGTGTCCCCGAATCTTACGGTGGACAGCCGTGCCCTTCAGTGAGCCGTTTCCCACGACCACCCAAAACGCCTACGTGAAAAAGAGCTGACCCGTGATGTAGGGAGAGGCATTTCATGTTCGCACGAAAGGGAATTTTGGTGAAGTGTGGCAGTTTAAATTGCATCAACAGAAATTCCAAGAAATTTGCAATAAGATAAATACAAAATTTATGCTTTTATTATTTCCGAACACCATCAACTTCGCGTTTTAAAAATAACATTCATTATGAAAGAGTAAAGACCCTGTAGAACCACCGTCCGATTATTAATCGTGAAAAGGATCAATGAGCGATGTTTATTGTTTTTCCTGCTAAGGATAACCGGTTGTAAGTCCCCGAGTGGTCTTATGTCCTCGTGAAGTAATAAAGTGGAATGAATTATCGGCTCGGCATTATCGGCATGCCATGCAAATGTATGAGGGAGGCGTTTTGTAGAGTGGAGAGGTGAATTCCAATGCGGACCCCTCAGCCCTAAGTTCTATGGGTCGGGGCGGGGTCGGCCGTAACCATGAGCGTTCACAGCATGCTTCGTAAATCGTTTTTTCCTCTGACCCGGAACAGAACATGTGACTAGCCGAATGAAGCAGGTTTGAAAACGAACCAGCGGAGAATGCCAACTCGCAGTCTTCTGGGAACGAAATTAACACCACGCCGCAGACCTGCCCATAGTTCCCCTCGACAAATACGCCCGATAACGGGACAGCAAACAACAAAAATCACATTTGTCCATAAGGCTCGCTAAATAGCCACCGAAACATTAACCACCAATGCTCGGCTCCAAACAGCAGATCGGACGTATAGTGCATACGGATTGAAACCGTTTATTGGCGAACAAAATGAGAAATGTGCACACACTGTGAATCACACGTTTCCCGTATGAGATCATACGGATGTGACTAGCAAATTATTTGTGATAAAAACGGTACCTAAGTGTGATGTGCGCTATGAACAGGTCATATGACAATGAGATCACCGATAAAAGGAATGAGGAGATCAGTTGGGTGAACGAAATACATATTTCCGTCCTTTACAAGTTACAAAACCCAACCCGAATGACTTTCAGCAGACACGTAAAAATGACTTAGACTCGTGCGTAGAACAGCGCAATGTTACATGTGCCACTCATCAGAACCAAGCCACATGAGCCTAGCTTCGACAAAGCAACAGCGGCTCGTATCTACGTTGCCAGACACACAAACAAGCACGCATTTGGTTCCCGAGAGCTTGAATCGAGGAACCAGAGGCAGGTTGGACGGATCAGTAGTCTGTTGGTGGCGTTGGCCGACTAGAATACACTGAACAGATGAGCGATGACATATGAAACTCGCAAGGCTAACGTTTGCTGATGGCTGAATGATGTTTCGACAGTGGCCCCTGACATGTCAGAGCCTTGACCGTTCATCAAATGAGCTGGTTACACAGCGAGCAGCAGTGCTACCAGGGCGGCCAGCGCCGGGACCTTCCCCGTCCCACCCGCCGACCCGCCCCCGGCGCCGCCAGACGAGAACGGGTAGAAAAAGTCGGCCGGTAGACTGAGATCGACGCGCGGCGGGCGGGCAAAGTGCGGCTCCGGCCCGCCGGCGGTCACATCCTGGAACGTGACGCTGGTGTGCAGGGTAACTGAGAGCCTGCCGCCGCTCTCCGGAGCCGTCCACACGGGTCGCGGCCGGCCGAACTGCAGTCGTACCCCGACCACTCGGGTCTGAGGCAGCTGGGCGGCGCCGGTGCGCGCCACCAGTACCCGCCAGTGCAGGCTGGTGACCAGGCCGCGGCAGCCGGACGGCGTGGTCTCCGGGGAGAGCTGCGGCCGGCCGCCCACCACCGGCACCCACTCCCCGTCCCGCTCCCCGCTGCCGAACGCGAGCACGGCCGTCTCGGCGGCGTCGGCCGGCAGTCCCGACAGCAGCGTGTCCAGGAGACGGCGCTGCAGCGCCGAGCAGTCGCCCGCCGCCGCCTCCAGGCGACAGCCCACGGAGGCGTCCACACCAAACGCCAGCGGCCTCCAGCGGCGCCGGTCGGCACTGCAGCCGCCGCCGCGGCCCGGCGAGGGCAGCAGCAGCGGCCGGCCGGGCGCCGCCGGCTCGCGCCGCGTCTCGCCGTCGTCGGTGACGTTGACGGATAGCGGGGCGGCCAGCAGCGGCCGGCGCCGCTGGTAGCCGGGGTTGCCGCTGCGGAGACGCGGCGCCTCGGCCGCCGGCCGCCGGAACTCCACCCGGCGCCTCTGGCGGACCGCAGAGCCGAGCGGTACGTCCGCCAGCACCAGGAGGGCGCGCACGGCCGCCAGCCGACCGGAACGCTGCTCAACTACCAGCAGAGCCGAGACGAGTGCGTCCCGCAGCCGGTCACCGGTGACCCGCGGCCGGCGGACCTCAGACACCTGCACAGAGCAAACACAAACATATACTGGACATCAGACACCCACATTGCACGTTCATTCCTAAATAATTCTCGCCGGCCGAGATCCCTACCTGAACAGCGGACGTATCCGAATTGGTGAACTTACCTGCGTACAGTTGAGGTGGTCAATGTCGCACAGGTACGACACGGCAGCCACGGCGGTGTCCTGGTCCGTGTCGGTCGAGTCGTCTCCAGGCTGGACGCAGCGGACTGGCTCCAGGTCCTGGCCAAACGAGCATAAAGGGGTCAGAGGGGCGTGGGTGATGAAAGCAAACGCTTATCTTGTTTGAGCCTACCTTATAGCAGTGTCCCAAAATTTGCCAGTTTTGGGTGGGAAGTGACATCCAAATGAAATCAATTTTCCACTTTCATCTCCAATTGTCCAGAACAATTTTTCACTCCTAATTTTACCAACAAAGAGCACTATTGCACGTATGTTTGCTAGCTGGCTTTCACCTAGGTACCTCCATATTGCATTAAATCATCTCATAATGCAGCTCCCACATTCTCCAACATTCACAAAAAAATTGATTATCACTGTTTCAACTTTTTGTGCCTTTCTAACTGGGGATTTTCCACTCTCAGCCCTTTTTACAGTGCGGAGTATCTCCCTCCGACACCCAAGCCCAAATGAAATTTTGGGACACTGCCTTATAGAAAACACACAGTGTAGTATGCCGATCACTGAGCGATATTATTAGAATCCTACCTGCGCTCTGTACCGTAAACCTACCTGCTCTGTCTCGCCGGGAGGCGTCCGCAGCAGACACAGGTCCCGGTACACCTACCTCTCCAGTTTCACCGGGAGGTACTCTCAGCAGACACAGGTTCCGGTAAACCTACCTCTCCAGTCCCACCAGGAGGCGTCCTCAGCAGACACAGGTCCCGGTACATGTTTCGGCCATCCAGCGGGGCTAGCCGGCCGGCGTCGGCCGTCAGCCAGCAGTCAGTATGGGCCGAGCGAAGGAACCGCACCGGACGGAGGGCGTCACACGCGCCGGACGACACCGGGCCGCGCCACTGCAGCTCTGGAGCAGAGCACAGAGTGCGGTCAGCAGCAGTCAGCGGCGCTCCCGCATCACACAGTCACCAGCAGGAAGTCAAAAGTATGATCGAATGCACATTACACTTCATTGCTTTGCAATAATGAAAGGAGCATAGCTTTGTGGCTCATGTAAATATCATAGGTGCTTCAATCACAATCCACTTGTATCGATGAAACGATATAAAACTAAACGAGTTGAGCTACCAGAACAATCATGTTTCTAATACCACACAAAGCTGTCACTGAGTCCACTCAGCTGTGCCCTCACAGTAAAAATCACAGTACAGGTGCTGTGGGGCCCCACTGCTCACCCCAGCGTCGCGGCGCGCCCTGGCCGACGGTCCAGAGCAGGTCCCCGCTCCGGTACCGGTCTGGGGAGGCCGCCGGTGGCGCAGTGACGGGCGGCACCGGCGGCGGGCTCCAGCCTCCGTACCGGTGGGAGGAGGCCGCCCGAGACACCAGGCGGTCAAACTGCGCTGAACTCGCCGCCGGCTGCCAGTAAAAGGTGGAACGTTAATTCATTGTAGGCATGAGTTTATGCAAACAGCAGCATTCGATATGATACCTCCAAAGCAAGCAGGGACATGGCTAACTTATACATGCTTGAAAGGTCGCTGACAAAGCAAGATCGAACCCTAGTCACATCAAAGAGAAAATAAAATAATATAAAGCCGGACTCTCTAACGCTTACCTTGACGCGCGGGAGCCGGAAGCTGCCGACCAGATTGTCTCGGACGACACACAGCAGACCGCCCTCGGCTGGGGTCAGCTGGTGATCGTTACTCCGATAGATGAGGTCCGACTGCACGCAGTAGCGGGTATCTGCCGAAACGCGCACATAGTGACACAAAGGCTGCGTATCAGCTTAGACTATCGTGCAGGTCAGTGAGTCAGTGACTAAAGATTCAAAACTCAAAGCGACTTTTTACGGGACCAAACAACTTTGTGCCAAGTTTCTGGATAATCAGATTGTCAGGCGTCGAGTAACTTACCCGGTGTGACGGAGGGTCTCTTCTGACAGGCCGAGAAGGCCCGGCGGTCCTCCGGGCTACAGTCCGGGTCACAGCAGCAGTCCGCGTCACACTCCGATACCTGCAAATGAAAGGCGCAAACTGTTACAGCAGCAGTCTACGTCACAATGATTTCGATACCTGCCACTGAAAGGGACACGACGTCAAAGAAGTTCTCACTAAACATCGCTTGATCTATGCGGCCCAAGACCGGCATGAGTGGTTTCTCCGTACGAGACACAAATTCCTATGCAATCCAATTCATTTCCTGCACCAGTAATTCCAATATTTTTAAGCTCGGACAATCTCTAGCTTTCACATTTCCGTTCTTTTCTATCACCGGACTTAGATTACTCACCAGAAGGTCGCACGTGCAGTGGGCGGTACTCCAGTCATCCACGTCCGTTTCCGCTGGGTCGGCAGGGTCTCCGTCCTTTTCTGCCGTTTCAGCAGGGGCTTCGTCCGTTCCTGTTGCCTCAGCAGAGGTTTTCTCCGCCCCTGCCTCAGCGGGGGTACCGCCGGTCCCTGCCGGACTGACAGTACTCTCTGTCGAGTTGGTAGCGACTTTATCCGTCTCTTCTGAGTCTGCAGGGGCAGTCTCTGTCCCTACTGGTTCAGTAGTGACTCCTTCCGTCCCTCCTGGGTCTGTAGAAGCTCGTTCTGTTTCTGTCGGATCAGTAGGGGCTCCTGCCGTTTCTCCTTGCTCAGTTCCATCAAGAGTAAGCTCCTCGGGTCCCAGTTCGATTCCGTCGGCGGTGGCAGACAGCAACTCGGCACCCTCCCCACTACCTTCGCCCTCCGTCGGTGCTGTCCCTCCCGGGAGCTGCTCAGGGTCGCCGGGGCCGTTCTCGGCGGAGCGTTTCAGCGCCATCACACTGGCACCATCCCTATGCCGGCCTCCCACGCCGTAGGCGGGCGGTGGGGCGGCGCCACCAGCCGACTGCAGCGGCAGACAGTCGCCGAGCACACAGCGGTCAAACTCGCTGACCGTGTCGGCCGCGGCAGCCGCCAGCAGCGCGAGCAGCAGCGCCACCTGCCGCCGACCCCAGCGGCAGCGCATCGCCGCGGGCAGGTACTCAGTACTCGATACCGTAACGGGCAAAGTTACGCAGGATTACGCTTATCTGGACGTGCACCTGAAAACACGGTGAAACCATAATTACGGTCACAGCTGTAACTCTCTTATCGGTGAAAACCCGTCACATAGTAACTTACGACGAATAAAATAATTGCTCTTCGAACAGCAATGCCGTACAACGTGGCTAACAACGCCCATTGCGATCTGCCGGTGTATCCACTGACCGTGCCCATGGCGGTGGTCTGGATCCGGTACCGGTCCAGGGACGTGTAGACCAGCTGAGGGTCCCTGAGCTGCGGGCCGCCGCCCACAAACTGCTGGCGAAACTCGTCCCTCAGACTGCCTGTCGGACAAATAGGGCATGGATCAGCCAACCGTCGTACAGGTAGCTACAACACGTGCCTGCGACATACATCAGCCAACTGCCTGACATTTTATCGGTCGGAGACACCATATACACATCAGACAACGGGTGTGTATTGCTATAACTGTATCAGATATGTCTACGATGCGACGTGAAACGGACAACGGTCTGACATCCAGCAGCAGGACAGATCGAGTCACAGCAATTGTAAAAAATATTTCCTCATCTCGTCTAGGAAGTTACGGCGCACACATGCATACCCTATCACAAACAGTACAAACTACACATATCTGACGAACTCGGCGTAATTCTCTCACCAGTCGGCCTCCAGATGACGCAGTCGATGCTGTGCGCTCCCGGACTGCTAGGCAAGTTGCAGAAGCCGTAGCCACAGATGTCGAACCGTCCAAAGCCGTCCAGACTGTACACCTGCACAACCAGCTTCGGCCAACCTACCGGCGGCGGGCGAACGGTGAACATTGTTTGCAATGCTGATATTATTCCTCACTGCAGTATCGTATGTTATCAGCAAGTGCTCTGCGTACATGGCTAGGATCATTCTAGAGTTAGCCCTGAAAGATCGGTAATAATCCAATGCATGTACGATCGGGGTATAACGTTACCTATAGTAAGCACTAAGCCGTAATTACAGGGTATAGCTACGTCCGCTGAGCTGGCCGAGAGCCACTGACCTGTGATGCCTTTGATGGTGTAGTGCACATCCACTGGGTGACACCAGATCGCCGCCTGACCGAGCTGGGGGCAGTCGGCGTGCGTCTGACCCTCCTTCAGACCCTCCACATGGTGCCAGGCACCGCCTGCCAACCACAAAACAGAGCATGTACGATGGAATCAACGGCATCAACACATCGAGGGGAAGCCTTCCTGAGATCTATGAAAAAAAATTGTTGGGCATTGGCCCACTTAGCCGTGTCATGAAAACAAAGGGCTACAACTTCAAGCACAAGGTGGACCACGACAGTGAGGGTGAAAGTCAAGGCCAACCCGTCCACTGGCTTGTGCCAGTGCGGGGAGAGGCTGAGCCGCACCACTGAGACCAGACTCTGGGAGACTAACAGGAAAACCCTGTCTCACTGTGACATCTGGAGATCATCTTCAGGTTATTATTCTTTATCTGTTTATTGCTACGTGAATGGTATTTGAAACTGTAATGCAGTGATGAGGCAACTTTACTGACCTGTTTGTATACTCCACCTGCAGAACAGCTGTGAGTCTGAGAACCCTGACCCACTCACAATCTGACCGATAAAGTGCACCTCTGCCGAGCTGGAATCTTTTCCTCGCACCTGTAACACACAAACACATCAAATTTGAGATTAAATCATCACTGATCATCAGAGCGAGAAATAGTAATCTTAGCAAACTACAAACAACTACGCAAGCCCAAAACACTCCTAAGATCTTATATCACCTTATCTTACCTCACTGTCGTCGGGATTCGGTAAGGCCACTGGCTAATGGCCGGAAGGCCCCGCTCTCATTGAGCTCCGTGGTTTTGTGGGATCATCTCATGCATGCATTTTCGGCGTCTTTCGTTGGGTCAACAGTTGTATCGTACAGCAAATCTGATCGGCAAGTCATTCACAGCGAATTTGACCACCAAGCCGCGACAAAGTGGTGGTCCTCAAGGCCTGACAGTGCCATCAGCCATGTGCATTTCGCCCTACCACCGAGGGACAACGCCAAACTCTAACATGAGCCGAGCGCATCTCGTTTAAGAATGCTGCGGAATGCAACAACCTCAGATTCTTTTAATGCAACTTATTAGCTGCGTCGAACATACCCGATAATCGTTCGCAAAGACCCGTTGAAGCAGTGGAGCGGTCATGTAGCCCTGCCATCGGCCGTGCACATCTCGAGTCCCTCCCATCTGCACCAAGCTCATCTCTCACTCTACCACCGACGCCTCACAGAGTCGAGCGGTGCGTTTCGTGTTGTAACAGTGCGAAGAGTGCGAACTTGCGGGCGACCCACGTGCTTGATGGGACTACCAGCGCAGGCACAGTCCGTTCTGACCACAGCATCCTCAATTAGACCCGAGAGCACAATGAGTTACACGTCAAAGCTCTAACAATGTCTTTTCTGCAATTTTCCTAATCTATCTCATCTGGTCTGTCATGTCGTCACTAACCCAATTCCGCACCGCAATACACTAAATCCGCACCACACCAAGCCAAAATCCGCAACGCATCGCACCAAATCCGCACCAGCCGAACAAGCCCGCACCGACAAAATCTCATAAAATTGCCATAGTTTGCAGGCTGGACTAAAAGTAGGCAAGTATAAGCAGTAGGTAAGTGAGCAATAATCGACACACACTTTGTGGATCGCTCTTAAATGTAAATACAAATATATAAGCAAGTATAAGTATGAGATCATAAAAAATTGGTAGTCTGAGTCATAAAGCAGGCATCACATCACACTTGTTTTTTTTTGCAACCAGCAAGTTTCAAATTAAACTCACCATGGGCTTGCTGTTGCAGAGGAAGGCAAACAGAAGTTTGAATTGAAACGAATCCAAGTTTCAATATTCTCCTCTTCCTCTCCTTCGGCACTCTACTAAGCTAAATCCAAAAGAAAACAGCACTTAGAAACATTCAAAATATGCTCAAAGTAACCAAAGTACAAGCATAATTCCATGAAGCTAATATATTCTATCACCGTGCATGAAGCTCATTATCATTATTACTCCTCACTCTTCTTATGCACTCTTCAGCAAATTGAAAAGTGTGGAATGCGTGGAATGCGAAGTGATTGGAATGTAAATAAACAAGTGTCAAAATATATAAAATGTCAATATTTTCTTTAAGAAGTTTTCCAACGAGAATTTTTTGCATAATTTGGAAATGTTTAATATATTTGTCGGTATTTATTTTTTTCTTGACAACGAATTGACGAGTTTTAAAATAAGATTTATTTTAAAAGTTACTGTATGTTATTTTTCGTCGCGAAATATTTCTTTTGGCGACCTCTATTTTTACAGCATAAAATGTTGTATTTTCCCCAAAACATTTCGAAACAGATAAAATAGGATAGAAATAATCAATTATATTACTAAAACGATCAAATTATGTAAGCTCTTTGAGGACAAACAGCATATTTATTGCTGTTCTCAAACACAAGATAACCAGCCTAATGCCTTTTGAAGAGTCCCCGAATTTGGTGATAAATTGAACATTTTAGAGAAAAGAAGAAGGGTCCGTTTTGTGTTTTGGCTTGATTGGATTGTATGAATGAATTGAATGAATCAGAATGAATGACGGATCTTGGAATGAGTGGTGGGATTGATCCAGGATTGATCCAACGGGATTGATCGGTATCTGGATAGTGAGTGTGTAAATGAGCAGCATTTCAGTTGCAGCTGACGTTGAGGTGGAGGTCACTGGTCAGGTCACGGTCAGAGGTTGAGGAGGTGGCTCCAGCTCCTCCAGCTCAAGCTCGAGCAGGGGCTGGTGGAAGTACTTTTGTTGGATGTAATGGCTGAAGGTGAGGCTGATTAATCGTCCGGTGGTAGTGGTAGGTTTGTAGGTTGTAGGGTTGTAGTTAAGGCTAGGTCAGGTTAGATTAGGCTTGTTAATTGTTTCAGTTTTGGTTTGGTTAGAAAGAAACATCGCCGGGTATGCGCCTCTCCGTGGTTGGAAAACCTTTGTGTGACGTCTGCTCTACTAATACCCAATCTTCACTTATCACCTGTACCGTTCGTACCCGATGATGATCTTGTCCACATCTGATCAACATAGTTTTGATGGCACTCCATAAAACTTAATGCCTGCCTAGTGCCTACCATTGGCATTTGCGGTCATAACCTACCACAGCCATCTTTGTCTTTGGTGGGCAGCTTGCACTTGCGTGGTCTGGTGCATTTGGTACATCAGGTGTGCCACATTGATTGCAGGCAAAGCTCTACAGATTGCAGAACTTTTGATGCATCTTATCTTGTCTCACACCTGTTCCTGCTGCTGGCAACCATATGACTAATGACTGTGTGGCAAATATCAACAGGGGGTGATGAGAACACCTTGTTGAAAACTGAGAAGCAAAGGTTGTCTTGTGAGGACCTGGACAAAATTGAACCCATCTCTCCCGAGGAGGAAAAAGAGGAAGGTGTACTGGAAGGTGAATTTGCCAAGTCAAACCAAACTGAAGCTGAAAAAGAAGGTTTGTCACCAACTACTGAGTCTTCAGAGGATATGGACAAAATACGCCAGTTTTTCGCCGAGAAGCTACACATTGGATCTTTAGCAAATGAGCTCAAGGTGAGAATAGCTAATTTTTAACTGCACCATTTAGCAGTTAGGTACATGAGCAACGAATTGTGCTGCGGCAATGTGCAACTGCCGCAAATGACCCGTGACCTCTGTTGTCGCTGACAGGTGTTGGAGACGGTCGACTTTGAGGGCGTGATGAAGTACATCCGCGACGGCTGCTGCAAGAACATCGTGACGATGGCCGGCGCCGGCATGTCCACCTCCGCCGGCATCCCCGACTTCCGCTCGCCGGGCAGCGGTCTGTATGACAACCTGGCCAAGTATGACCTGCCGCGGCCCGAGGCCGTCTTCGATATCGACTTTTTCCGCAAGCAGCCGGAGCCGTTCTTCGACCTGGCGCGCTCTCTGTACCCCAGCGAGCTGAAGCCCACACTCTGTCATCGCTTCGTAAGTCGCCTGATGCAGAGTTGATGGGGCTGGGTGTTTCGGGTCGGATTTTCACCAATTTACAAACAAATGCCATCAGTCTTCATTTTAATCCGAGGAAACGTGCTGCCCGCTTGACAGGAGCTTGGGACATACTGAGCCAATGTTTCAGTCATAGATATTTGAAATAGATATTTGAAAACGCCAGAACATTCACATATCATTATTGTGTCATGTGAGTCGCATTTATCTCTGGCGGTAGTTCTTGATCGCAGGTCTGTGTAACATTCACCCTCAGATCCGACTTCTGGAGCAGAAGGGTCTGCTGCTGCGTCACTACACGCAAAACATCGACACACTGGAGCGAGCGGCCGGTGTCAGCGACGATAAGATAGTGGAGGCGCACGGCACGTTCCACACGTCTCACTGCACCGGCTGTCGGCGCGAGTACGACCAGCAGTGGATGAAAGGTAGGCACAGGACTGGCAGTGGGTGAAAGGTAGACATGGGACCAGGGTTCGCTGTTTTCGGGCTGATTACTCTAAAATCTCAATTCAACAACTGCGAACTATCGTCGTCGCGCTGTTGCTCCGTTCTTTTTTCCTCCATGAACAAGTACAACCTGTGAAGTGTGATGTAATGTGCTTATTTCACTACGCAGCTTTGCGTGAGTACGGAAGTGAATCGGATTGAAAATACAAGTAAAACATTGTCTGCCAATTGAGTGACCGTTGACCGGGTTTGTGCCCACAGAGCAGATATTCTCCACCGACCTGCCCCGCTGCCAGTCCTGCGAGGCCGTCGTGAAACCGGACATTGTGTTTTTCGGCGAGAGTCTGCCGGCGCGCTTCTTTGAGCTGGTGTCTGACGACCTGCGCCGCTGTGACCTGCTCATCATCCTAGGCACGTCTCTGGTGGTGCAGCCCTTTGCCACATTGGTCGACCGGTAAGACTGGTAGACAACAACTCTGTGTTTCGCTTACGATCATTCACGATTCGGTGAGACCTTGAATTAGTGTTGGCAAGTGAACAAACAAAAATAAATATAATATGTGCAGCTGCGAGCGAGTGTCGTAGACATTTCCTCGACAATGCTTTGGTTGGTTTCCCTGCACCTACCTCCCTCCGTGTGTCTCCAGCGTACAGGACACGTGTCCCCGGCTGCTGGTGAACAAAGAGAAGGTGGGACGGCCCAGCGTGCTGATGCGACTGTTCGGTCAGAAGGGACTCGACTTTGACAGCGCCTCCAACTACCGGTAAGTCTGAGATGACTCTCGTCATGTCAGTAACCCAGGGGCCAGGGGTGTGCTATAACAATAAATGATGTTACAGTGATAAAAAATAGGACCCAGATGCTGCGTCTGCGCCTGACCCGGCCTGAGCTGCATTGAATTCCACACCACACGGCCTGTATGGTATTGCGTTTTCTGTGGACATTGGTTCCCCACGTGCTCTGTCACCGTTGCTTGGCCGGGACCATTGGGCTCTGGCCTCGCGGCGGCTGTGACTTCGGCCAGTAAGGGGAGTAGCGCCCCCTCGGCCCCAGCTTGACTTGCGTTTGACCTCGGCTCTGATTTGATTGTCGGATGGATTTTCTGCAAGATTGGCCCCGCAGGGGGCTGGCGGTGGCCTGGGTTCCTTGGGCCCGCGTCCTGCGGCGGCCCTGACCTCCGCCAGCAAGGGGAGTAGCGCCCCCTCGGCCCCAGCTTGACTCATGCTCGATTACAACCGGACTCGACCCTGGATTGATAGACGACAAGTCAGACCTTTCTTGGTTTCTTTTTTTCCCTTTGTGTCTGATGAGTGTCTTTTTTGCGCCCGGTTCCGCTCCTTCCGGGTGTTTCTCCTCACTGCCAGCTTATACTGCCTTGCCGTCTTCTCACGTGGTTTGCACTAAGTTTTTGCACTTGTCTGTTGCCCAGCTTTCTTGCGAGCATTTTCATTGGTTGCCTTTTCTGCATTCTCACGCACCGCACGGACACACTCGGGTGAAGTGGAATAGCGCCCCCCCCCCCCCCTCAGCCCTAGATACACATATGTGTAATCTTGACTTTGCCCACATTTGCTGGATTTGATGTTTGCACAATGCCACTGCCAGTCGGCCGCGTTGCCGTCTTCTCACGCGAATTTCTCCTGGCTGGTTTGCACTCATTTGGTTGCCTACCTCATCGGTTTCGCACGCTTCCCAGTTTTTTTTTTAACACTTGCTCATCTTCTCTGTGCACGATTCCATTGCATAATGCGATTCCAGTCTCTAATCGTGCCATCTTCTCACGTGAATTGCTCTTGGTCGTCTTGTACCCGTTTGTTGCCCATATTTCTTTTGCGGTCACTGGCATTGGCTGCGTTTTCAGTCTTCTTGCGCTGTACCGGTCTTGCAGGCTGCTTGCCTCACCGGTTCCGCACGCTTCCCCAGTTTTTTTTTTTACACTTGCTTATTTTCCTTGTGCACGATTCCATTGCCAGTTTGCTGCATTGCACTCTTTTCACGTGAATTGCTCTTGGTTGTTTTGTACCTGTCTGTTGCCTTTTTTGCGGATACTCGCGTTGATTGCCATATGTGTGATCTTGACTTTGCCCACATTTGCTGGATTTGATGTTTGCCCAATGCCATTGCCAGTCGGCCTCGTTGCCGTCTTCCCACCTGGCTGGTTTGCACTCATTTGGTTGCTTACCTCATCGGTTTCGCACGCTTCCCAGTTTTTTTTTTTTAACACTTGCTCATCTTCTCTGTGCACGATTCCATTGCATAATGCGATTCCAGTCTCTAATCGTGCCATCTTCTCACGTGAATTGCTCTTGGTCGTCTTGTACCCGTTTGTTGCCCATATTTCTTTTGCGGTCACTGGCATTGGCTGCGTTTTCAGTCTTCTTGCGCTGTACCGGTCTTGCAGGCTGCTTGCCTCACCGGTTCCGCACGCTTCCCCAGTTTTTTTTTTGTTTTTTTTTTACACTTGCTTATCTTCCTTGTGCACGATTCCATTGCCAGTCTGCTGCATTGCACTCTTTTCACGTGAATTGCTCTTGGTTGTTTTGTACCTGTCTGTTGCCTTTTTTGCGGATACTCGCGTTGATTGCGTTTTCAGTTTTCCTACGCTGTACCGGTCTTGCAGGCTGCTTGCCTCATCGGTTTCGCACGCTTCCCCCAGTTTTTTTTTTTTTGCACTCGCTCATCTTCTTTGTTCTCTGGTTCCCCTGGTTTTATCGGTCTAGCCGTACCTTCGGCCCAAAGACCGGGGAGAGGATGTCTGGGCGTTGAGGGGGCTGCCCTGCGGGTTAGTCGGGGCAGCCTTCCAACACATGCCTTTGGCGCCAATCCCCGGATCTGCGGGATGCCCCATGTTGGCCTCGCATGAGGGAAATCGGCCGGTCAGGCGTCGCCCTGTGCAGCACTGGCTAATCGGGGTCAAGGGGGCTGGGCGACGGGTATGCGGGGGGTTGCCGCCGGGTGCAGGGGCCGCCTGATTCCTTCAGCGCGGGGCTTAGCGCCACCGTATCCATGTCCGCGCGCGGGATCAGGTCCGGTCCCGTGCCGCATGGCTCTGCGGCGGCCGCGGCTCACGCGGCCCCGTACCCGGCGGCTTCGTCTTGCTGCTTTTGGCGTCCCGGCCCCCGTATAGTCCTGCAGTACTCCTGGCGGACCACCACCCTACGGGGGAGTGTGGCCGTCCCCCAGTTGGGCTCCGAGGTGGGTGGGAGGCTGCGGGACCGAAACAATTACACTTTCCATGGATTCTCACTTGGCACCCCCACGGACCACAGCCTCGGCTGAACCCCTTGCACCTAGTGCAGTCGGTGGAGCACGACCAAAAGTTCATATATTCACATCCGACGAACGAAAACTCGCGTCGCTGTCTCCCTTTCAGAGACGAGAGGGCTGTGACAGATTTGGTAAGATTGCGAGGTGTGAAAAACTTAGAGACGGAGGCATCGAAGTAGAGTTTGTTGACGATAGAGAGGCGGAAAGGGCCCTGAAAGCTACTCACTTCACATACACAGTTAAGGATCAGCAGGGCAGGAAGGAAGTAAACCTTTCGGTCAGCGTTTCGCCGCATCGCACGAAAAATTCCAGCCGAGGGGTCATTTTTTGCGACGATCTGGAGGGCATGCAAAACGACGAGATCGCCGAAGGCCTGTCACAGTTTGGGGTCTCCGCCGCCCGCCGCATCTACACCAAGAGAAGTGGCGCTCTCGCACCCACGCACAGTATCATTTTGACTTTCAACTCGCTGGAACTGCCGAGGGAGGTGATGATAGGATATCTGTCCGTGAAAGTTCGACCATATGTCCCGAGTCCCATGCGTTGTTTTCAGTGTCTCCGATTCGGTCACACTCGAGACAGCTGTCGGAACAGACCAGCATGCGGGAGCTGTGCGGCAAATGACCATAGCAGTGCCGAATGTTCGTCGTCCGAGTTGAGATGCGTCAATTGTGACGACTCTCAGACTCCACATTCCTCGTTTGATGGGCGATGCCCGGCCCTCCAGAGAGAAAAAGAAATAATGTCCCTGAAGGTCACCGAAAGGCTGTCATTTCGTCAGGCCCGAGACCGCTTTGCTGCCCTCCATCCCAAGCGGTCTTATGCTAGTGTGGCCAACGGTTCTAGACAGCGCTGCCCCACTGAAACTGATACCAACAACAGCATCGGTCAGTTAATAGCGATTCTGAAGTCATTCGGCTTCTGCTTTGTCCCAGATGCCAACAGTCACAGCAACTCATCAGTTCAACAGGAGCCCCCTAAAGCGTTGTCGTGCTCCGCCACGCAGACGTCGCCAAGCAGGAGGCGAGGAGTCTCGTCCCCCTCCCGTGGGGGAGGAAGAGAGGATGAAACTGGGGCGGGGGTGGAGGCTTCAGCCGCCCCCGAGGATACGGCCACGCCGCGGGGTGGTGAGTGGACCCTCGCCCGGGGTCGTCGCCGGGGCCCGCCCCCACCGCCGCGCTCTGTCGAACGGACCCCGTTCACGTCTCCGGAGATCCGTCGACCCCCGCCCAGGGAGACTGCAGTCATGGCGGCTCTGCGCCGCGGTCGGGAGGAGCGGCTTGAGCAGGACGCCAGACTAGGGCGGAGGATGGCCCAGGCTCTTGAGGAGCGTCGAGCGTCCTCTGTCCGTGGAGGTCCTGGTGGGCCGGGGGCGGCCCCGTCACCTCTGATGGGACCTCCCCCTACCCCTCCACCCCCTCCTCCACCTCCGCCCCCTCCACCTCCTCCGCCCCCTCCACCTTCTCCCCCACCCCCGCTCCCACCGCCACCACCACCCCCTCCACCCCCTCCACTTCCTCCACTCCCTCCACCCCATTCACAGCGTCCTGGTGCCCCTCCGGTGCCCGCCTCGGGCGAGGGGTCGGGACCCCGACCCCCGCCATGCACACCACCATCGGAGCCGAGACCGGCGGGGCCGCCGCCCGCCCCGGGCCGCCCCACGAAGCGCACACTTCCGTGGGAGTTATCTCCGCCAAACGATGGTAGCCCCCGCTCGCGGCTGAAGTTTCAACCGGGAGCTACGGGCCGGCCTAGGTCGGCCGATGGACGGCTCCGCGAGGGCCATCCAAAGGTAGCCTTTGGCGGTGGCCCGGGCCCCGGTGGCGAGGAGCATTTTTAAGTCCCCGCCTTTTTTTTAACTCAAGTCAAAGTCGCCAGTTTTAGACACCTTTCGCTTACCCCAAGCGCTCAAAACTACAGCAATAACACGTTTTATCCTGCAGTGGAACTGCAGAGGCTTGCGTTCTAGCACTCCAGAACTGCAAGCACTAATCCGCTCTCAGCGACCTTTGGTTGCTTGCATCCAAGAAACCAAACTCAGATCTGAGTCCAGGTTCCCCATGAAAGGATTTTCGGTTTTTCGCAGGGACCTTGCTACTGAAACCGTCGCGCACGGAGGTGTTATGGTTCTGGTCCATAACGCCGTGCCTGCGAGATGTATTGATTTAAGCTCGCCCCTTCAGGCGGTAGCGGTCCGCATTCATCTAGGCCAGCGTGACATCACTGTGTGCTCACTTTACTGTCCCCCTGGCGCAGCTCTTCCTCTTCTGGAACTACGCCGGCTAATTGCCGAGCTCCCTCCACCTGTGATGCTTCTGGGTGATTTTAACTCTCACCACTCTGCATGGGGATGTGATTCTGTGTGTACACGCGGTCGACTTTTAGCGTCCTTGATAGACGAGGAGGGCCTTTGTGTTTTAAACACTGGTGCTGCTACCCATTTCACCATGCCGTCGGGACATTCATCAGTTCTAGATCTCAGCCTTGTCAGTCCACACCTTGTGCCGCTTTTTACGTGGCGAGTGGACGCGGACTCTTTTGGTAGTGACCATTTCCCCATATGGCTTGAACTGCGTGAGCGGCCCTCGGTTGGCTGCCGGCCACCGAGATGGAACCTGCGGAGGGCAGACTGGGAGAAATTTCAAACGTGCTTGGAGGATGCTCTCTCATCTGACCCTACAGATGATCTGTCAGTAACCGATTTCACCTCCTTACTCATTGAAGCAGCCAAGGCATCCATTCCTCGTACATCGGGGGCGCCTTCTCGCCGGCCGGTCCCATGGTGGTCCGATGCGTGTCGAGACGCCATCAGAGCGCGGAAACGAGCGCTGCGCGCTTTCAGGCATAACTGCACCACCGCAAACATGATCGCGTTTAGAAAAGCCAGAGCGTTCGCTAGGTGGACGGTCAAGAAAGCTAAACACGAATCCTGGGTGGAATACATCAGCCAGCTTAACAGATTCACGCCAATCTCCGAGGTTTGGTCCCGTATAAAACGTATATCAGGTCGTTTCTCCTCATCCCCTCTTCCTGTTCTGAGTGTGTTTGGCAGAAATGTGTCGAACCCAGCTGATGTAGCGTACGAAATAGGCCGTGCGTTACATGACCGCTGTGTCGGTGACTGTTCTGACCCCGACTTCGCCCGCCATCGTGCTCGGTGCGAATCGACTGGCGTCAATTTTAACACATCACAACATTTTAGCTACAATGATCCCTTTACTATGGAAGAGTTAAAGTCCGCTATAGGTGGCCTGAAGTGTGTCGCAGAAGGCCCTGATCTTGTACACAATGAGATGCTTCGGCGTCTCCCGTCACCGGGACTTGAAGCATTGCTCCATCTTTTCAATGCGCTCTGGGAAAGAGGGCTGTATCCCGAAACATGGCGGACGGCCATCATTATCCCGGTGCTGAAGGCTGGTAAAAGCGGGCTTGATCCGCTTCACTACCGCCCTATTGCGTTGACATCTGCCCTGGGCAAGCTGCTTGAGCGAGTTGTAAACGCGCGTCTCGTCTGGTTTCTGGAGGAACAAGGTGTTTTATCTAACTCGCAGTGCGGTTTCAGAAAGTATCGGAGCACAGTAGACCACATTTTAGCCCTTGATACCGAGGTTCGTTGCGCATTTAGGCGGAAGCGACACATTGGTGCATTGTTTTTCGACATTGAGGCTGCGTATGATACCACTTGGCGTTTCGGTATTTTACAAAAGCTTTTCAAGTACGGTATACGCGGTACAATGGGCCATTTCCTCGCCAGCTTTTTATCTAACCGGTCTTTCAGAGTCCGTGTTGGTGGCAACCTCTCAGAGCAGTTCCCCCAGGTCAACGGTGTCCCCCAAGGAGGAGTCCTAAGTGTTGTGCTGTTCGGGGTAATGATTAACGATATTGCCGATCACCTGCCCCCTTCCATTGGCCGTGCCCTTTTTGTGGATGACTTCTCTATCTGGGCCAGTGGTGCAACCACACGTATAGTAGAGAGACAGCTCCAGTTGGCAATTAAAAGATTAGAAAACTGGAGTGCTGTTAACGGACTACGATTCTCGACAGCCAAAACTGTAGGTGTCCACTTTTGCCGTTTTCGCCGTAATTGCCCTGACTTCTCTGTCAGGCTAAGGGGTGCAGTGATCCCTGTGAAGTCGGAGGTGAAGTTTCTTGGGATGGTAATAGACAGCCGTCTTACCTACCGCACTCACCTGAAAGAGCTCCGCGACCGATGTTTTCGAGCTATGAATGTTTTGAAATGTGTTGCGCGTACCTGCTATGGGGCGGATCGTAAGACACTGCTCTTGCTTTATCGTGCTCTTGTCCGTTCTAGACTTGACTACGGCTGTTTTATATACGATAACGCCACGGAGACCTCGAAACGTATTCTGGACTCTGTGCATCATACTGCTCTTCGTATTGCCACTGGTGCGTTCCGGACCACCCCAGTAGCCAGCCTCCTTGTAGAGGCCCACGAGCCACCTCTTGCCTTGCGTCGCCAGCTACTGGGCATGAGATATACCATAAAACTCCGCCAGTTGCCTTCCCACCCTGCCTATGATGCAGTTTTCTCACGTGCCAACCTGGCGCTTTTCAGAACCGGAGAAGGTGCACGTACTGTCCGCTACCCCCCTTTCTGCTCTCGTATGCAATCGCTGCTCTCGGAAGCACAAATTAAACTTCGGGGGGTCATGCGTAAGGAGTGGCCATCTGTCCCACCGTGGAGACAAGTCCCGCCAAAGGTGGACCTTTCCCTCACCGATGTGAGAAAAGGCGACATCCCTCCAGCTGTTTTAAAGGCTCGTGCGCTGGAACATATTTCAAGGTACTCTGACTACATAGCCTGTTATACTGACGGCTCAAAGACTGATGACGGTGCCGGGTGTGCTTTCGTCTGCGGCGACGCTGTGCGGTGTTTTACCTTACCTAAACATGCATCCGTTTTTTCCTGCGAATTGGTCGCTATCCTCAAACTCCTGTGTTTTATCGAGATTAATCCCGCTCGGTCATATGTTATTCTTTCTGACTCATTGAGTGGTCTCCAGTCCTTGTCACAATTCTATCCTTCTGACCCCCTCGCACAGGAGATTCTTCTTCGTGTGACAGCCCTCGACCGAGAGGGTACGTCGGTGTCTTTTTGCTGGATCCCTAGCCACGTCGGTATTCACGGCAACGAACGGGCGGACCGAGCTGCGAACCATGCTGCGCAGTATCCGTGCTCCCGCCGATTCCCTCTACCCGCCAGGGACTTTGTACCGGCGGTGGGCTCTTTCCTCCTCGGAAAGTGGCAGGAGGCCTGGAGCCAATCCCACGGTAACAAACTTTTACGTATCAAGCCAGGTTTAGCTACCTGGTTGTCGGCCTCACGCAGATCGCGACGCGAGGAGGTGGTCCTCTGCCGGCTTCGTACCGGGCACACTTATGGCACCCATGGGTTCCTTATCGGCGTTGGCTCCAGGCCTATTTGTACCAGATGTGGTGACCGACTTTCGGTCCGACACGTCTTGGTCGAGTGCCCGAGACTGGACGCTGAGCGATTGCGGTTTTTTGGATTGCGTGGCCCCCAGCTCTCTTTGAGAACACTTCTCCGCGACGACTCCCCTTTTCTCGATTCCTTTCGCCTCTTTTCGTTCATCACGGCCTCCGGGCTTCAGGTGATTTTTAACCCCCGACTTTGAGGAAGATTGGTTAGATATGGGCGCCATATAGCCTCGTTGCTGGTGCGCCCTAAAACACCAAATCATCATCATCGTGCTCTGTCACCCGGGATATGGGAAGTAGAGAATGCGAAACGGATTTCGGCATACTATTCATTGATGTCTTCACGTGTCCTGAGCGCCAGCTGTTCAGAGCCACTTACCTTTCCAGCCATGGATGGCTCTGACCGTTTCTACCCCTGCTGTGCCTTGGCAGGGACGTGTGCTGGCTGGGAACCTGCGACGACGGCGCTCGGGCCATGGCGGCCGCTCTCGGCTGGGAGGTAAGCCACACCTCCGTGGGTTCATCACATCACAGTGGTGGGTTCATCACAGTGTACACGTTCAGAGGAACGGTCATAGAGATGGCAGACCAGACTAGTGATGGACATAGGAAGACACGTTTAGGAAGGACGGGTTTACAGTTGTAGCTTCCCCGAAGAACCCCGTTCTATATCCCGTCACAAATCGACGTCGCTGTAGTGTTGTGTAGGTATGCGTCTGAACGCCGGCGCTGAACGCTGCTGACGTCTGTTATCCACCCGCAGGAGGACCTCCGTAAGTTGGAGTCAGAAGCGGACACATGAGCGGCCTGGCCGGCTGTGGGGACTTCTAATGGCGCGTGGGATGACGAAACAGCAGCTAGTCTGCGATGAAGATACAGCGGGCCGGATATTGGATATTTATCCGTCCGAACTCGCAAGTGATAATGTGTTGTCTGGAGGGATACTATGGAGTGACAGTGATAATGTGTCGATAGGAATGTCGAAAATGCAATGTGTCTAAAGGGATGTATCTGTGTTATAGTGCACCGTCGGACGGTTTTGCCTTGGCGTCCACTTTAGGTCGATATGCGAATACAATACACGTGCGTAATTCAGAAACTGCAGCAACGCAAGTTCCATTGCAATGCAACACATAGTTAGCTGTGGATATTGACAACTGACTGGCCATTTGTATTATCGTGCTGGCAGATGGATAAACACGACATCCAACGTTCTATTTCGTGTAGTCACTGCACGCTTCATTTTAACTGCACTGCACGTTATAGGTCTAAGGTGATGATATGTAATAAATGGCGGTAACATATTTGAAATATATCGTCAAATAACCAATGCGATTGATGTTTGGTTCACTGGAGGTAAAAGGGGCTGTTTTGTTATAGCATTGTGCCAGAAATTATGACCGGCGAGTGGCGAACTTGATGATTTGTTACCAACGGCCACAGTTCAATGATACTGGGTGAAAATGCCGTAGAAATGGCATTGAAATTGCTATTGTATTATATGGAGTTACCAGGCGCGCACACAGGATTTTTGAATGGGGGGGGCACGACCTTCGAACTGGGCCCCCCCATGCCGAAGGGCCCCCCCCAAAAAAAATACGGTCCACGGGGCTATATTTCGGTTGGTTTGAAGCTTGAGCAATTGGTTTGTCAATGCATGGTAGGTAAAACAATTATTTCGGTACCAGCTTAATTTTCAAAACATATATATTTTTACGCTAGCATGTTTTTTTAGCATGTTTTTTTTTTGTCGCGGACCCCGGGCCCGCGAGTCACCCGGTGGCCCGGGGTCAGCTCAGGCAAGGATGTATCCAGGACCTTTCGATGGGAGGAGGAAGGCACGGTGGGTCCAGTCTCACTGGCAGACGGGTCTCTTTAAAACGGTCTTTGCATGAGAAAATGTGGAAAATCGGCAAGCAAAAGTATCATTTATGCCCGAGGAGTGTGCCTAATGTACACTAATGCCTAATTTACATGGTATTTTACGAGCGAGCGAAGCGAGCGAGCTCCTCAGAGTCACCGGTGTGTGGCGCGCTCAGAGGTGCCAGTGAAAGGCCGTCAGATGCGCTGGTGTTGGGTCCTCACAGGCGCCGTTGCGGGGTCTCAGGCATGTGTGTGGCCCTGCAAAATGGCCTGCAAGTGGAAAGTGGCCCGTCATAGGCTGGCAAGGACACTCGGAGGCTGGTAAGAGGCCCTCAGAGTCACTGGTACGTGGCCCTCAGAGGCGTCGGTGTGGGGACTCTCAGAGCCGCCGATGTAGGCCCTTAAGATGCGCTGGATGCCCTTGGAGGTGGGGCGAGGGGCCTCGCAGTTGCCGTTGTGGGTGCCTTTAGAAACACTGGTGTGGACCGTGTGTCTATCACAGACGGATGTGGAGCCATAGCAGCCAATCCCTCGTTGGCCGTTACTAGGGCCCTGAGCGGCCGGCGAGGTCTCTCAGAAACCGGCATTGGGCCTTTATGAAGATAATTGTGGCTACATAGGAGCCAATAACGTGCCCCAACAAGCCCTGTGGTGTCCTTCCGAGTTGAAGTGCGGCCAGCGCGAACCCTCTGCTACCAACTGGCGCCGCAGGGCCCCTCGGTTTGAAGAAACCCTAAACCCGAGAACGGGCACGTACCCCCTCGCTCCCTTGCTATGTCACTGAATCCAAGTGATTAGGGGCCCTTTAGGTAATCAGGGGCGTTTCAGATGGCCAGGGGTTTTCAATTGATCAGGGGCCCACCAGGTAACCATGGGCCCCTCTGGTAACCAGGCGTTAAGTAACGAGGAACCCCATCAATAACCAGGGCCCCTCAGTAAACGGGGGCCACTCAGGTAAGTGTAGGAGTCCCGCAGAAGGGCCGGCAAGGTTTCTCAGGTCCGTTTTTTGACAAGGCTCTTATTGACTCAGGTGCGAGCCCTTTGCCATCAGCAGGGGGCCCTTTCAAGCCTTTTGAGGGCCGTTTAACGTCTCTTGAGTTCCCATTGAGGCCTTCTTAGGGCCCTTTGAGCAGTCGAGGGGCCTTTGAGGCCTTTTGAGGGCCTCTTGACGTCAGCTGAGGACCGTTGGACGCCAGCTGAGGATCGTGTTTTTGGGCCTTCTGATGGCCATTAGACGCCAATGGATGACCCTCTGACACCAACTGGGGCCCTCTGACACCAGCTAGGGGCACTTTAAGTTTGACGCTAGCTCAGGGCCCTCTGGCATTAGCTGGGGGGCCCTCTGACGCTAGCTCAAGGCCCTTTGACGCTCTTTAAGGCCTTCTGAGGGCCCTTGAGGTCTTCTAAGGGCCCCTTGAGGTTTTCTAAGGGCCCCTTGAGGCTTTTTGAGGGCCGCTTGACGCCAGCTGAGGACCGTTTGAGACCTTCTGATGGCCATTTGGCGCCAGCTGGGGGCCATCTGGCACCAGCTGGGGGCCCTCTGTCACCAGCAAAGGACTCTTTAGAGCCTTCGGAGAGCCGTTCGACGCAAGGGCATGGCCCTCTGACGCCAGCTCAGGGACCTTTGACACCCTTTAAGGCCTTCTGACGTCCGTTTGACGTTAGCTGAGGGCCCTTTGAGGCTATCTGAGGGCCCTTTAAGGCCATCTGAGAGTCCTTTGAGGTCATCTGAGGGCTCCTTAAGGCCATCTGAGGGCCCTTTGACACCATCTAAGGGCCCTTTGACACCATCTAAGGGCCCTTTGACACCAGATGAGGGTCCTATGACGCTAAGTGAGGGCCCTTCGAGGCCATCTGAGGGCCTTTTGAGACCATCTGAGGGCCCTTTAAGGCCGTTTGAGGGCCCTTTGTACACGGTCTTCGGTGGTCTAAGGATTAGTTAGAGGCCCATTTGAGGCGGCCTTCGGCCGCCTCAAATGGGCCCCTTCCTTCGAGTTGGGCCCCCCAACTCGAATGGGGGGGGCACGGGCCCGTGTGCCCCCCCCTTGTGTGCGCCCTTGGGAGTTACGGCATGCTGCAGGTGCTTTGAGTTGTAACATGCGCCCCACAGATCGCGGTGATATGCCTGTAAAGTCGCGGTCCGTAAAGTCCACCAGCCGCAGGCACGGTGGTCGGCGCCGAAGCTTTAGTTCCGGCGGTAGGTACTCGCTGTGGCGCTGGTGTCGCTGCACGACGGCACAATACGATACCGTCGGACCATCGTCGGACGGCCAGTGTCACAGACGGTTTTATTGTCCTGGGTGGCTTACCTTAGTCTTTTACTTGTTTGCTTGACGTGAACGCTACTAGCTTTTTTAGGTTCTAGAGACGAGTATTTTCCGTCCTGCCGGATACCTGATTAAAATTAGTCGTCCACAGGCGTCGTCCGTTCACTTCAGGGATTCGGCAGGTGCATTGACATTCCCTCTCCCGTGTAGTCGACAGTTCTGTGCATACCTAGTACCTACCTCTCAAAATACCTCATTTGGTCTTGATTATCCCTTACGATGCTTCGGCTCATAGATTTTGGCAAATCCTTTATCGAATGTATATTACGACGGTAATACGAGTGTACCCACAGTCCACACCCTACCAGTCTTTCACCAACCCAATATTAATTGCTATACCTATAGCCATAGGTATGTTATTATTCTCAATAGAATATGCAAGCCACCTACAGTAAAATATTCCTATGATAGTTACCTATATCTCGCCACAGACCACATCCATGGCATCTGGTGCCCAAAAAAACACTCGGCCGTCTCGACCCGCGGGCGGCACTGGTGTTTGATATGCGGCGCATGGCTCGTGGGCAGTGTTTGTTTGGAGCGACCATACGCTCGTGGAGTCTGGCAAAAAGTAGTGTCGGCTGACCCGGCAACGACGTAGTACGTAACGACGTCTCTACTCTCTACATGCTTGGTAGGAGGGAATAGAGGAACGAAGGGGAAGAGAGGGATACAAAAAATGTTTCAATGCTGCTCTTTAGATGTTCTCCCTAAAGTGTTTTTTAGACCAATCTCGTATGACGTATTTCGATTATGAGTTCGTTTCGTACCATAATGAGTGGCCGCACCACCTCTTATCGTGCAAGTAAAAGTTATTTTTATTTCCCCGTAGCAATTTTTTGGACGGAGCCGCTGGCAGTCAGTTGCATCGATGTAGCATCAGTTGAAACACTTTTGATTAATGTGTATTTGGATTTTCGGGTGTTGTATTTTAGGGGAGCAGATTTCCAGGGCCAGGAGACGTTCTTGGCAAAGTTCACTGCACAGTGCACATGGTTAGGTATCTACGCTATATGATCGAAATAGCGTGTTCGTCGTTCACACAGCCGAGCCCCGCACACCGCCCTTCCCGCGCCCACCGGCTTCAAATGCCTGTATACCGCGATCACCGCTGCCCGTGATAGTATCTACAAGCCATTCCCGTATAAAGAACTAAATGATGACCACTGACAAGGCTCAAACAGAGTCCTAACGACTGCGTCTGTCGTCTCAGCAGACGGACTCTCTCATGCTGGGCTGCAGCCTGCAGGGATGGGCTCAATGCCTTGTTTTATAGGAAAGATCGCTTTAGCTTTTCCTGTCCTTTGCCCTTAGGCGCTCCTCGGAATTATCAGGCCTTTTTCTTACGATTTTCGATATTAACTATGAGAGTACGGTTACTTTACTTTTTTATATGTTTACAGGGACCCTCCCACCTTCAAAAAAGTTTATGAAATGGCATGAAAGTGATGTCGCTCGGTTCAGAAAGAGCGGAAACGAATATCTACCAAATTTCACCGAAAAATATTCACCGGTTTTCAAGATATTAGACTTTTACTTTTGTTTACTTTTTTTGGGATCTCCGCTGTTTCTAGCGACTTTATTTTAGAAGTGCGGCGTTTGCGGCAGATGTTGCGCGCAAATAGCATATACCACCGCGTGCTACAAAACGTTTTAGTCAAACATTTAAAAATCGTTAGATATCAGCGCTGACGTCACACATTCAGAGGGGTATTCCTAAGCATTAGCCCCTCTGAATCAAAATGCTGCAATTTTGAAATTCAATATTTCCGATTTAAGGCATTTCTCGATGTTGTGAGTGCCGAAACCGGTAATTGTGAGCCAGGGACCCCATTTTGGCTATCTCAACTCAAATCTAATGTTAAGGTGGGAGGGTCCCTTTAAGCATGTCTCTCAAAAGTCAAAGCAGTGCTAACAGCAATTCAGAAACTACCTTATCCTAAGCTGAGAAGATAAACGATATGGTGTGCGTTAATCGGCGACGCTTCACACCGTCGTTATACGTTTATATATTTTATGAGAAGACCTGGATGGCTGCTGAAACACTTCACTGCTCATCTCAGTTTAATGTTTGACTAGATAATTTACCATGGAAAAGGTACACAACAGACCAGACCGCTCCCTCTCGCCAACCAATCAGAACCTCACATCCAGGCCACGTCACGGACACCCACCAATACAAGCCCGCGCTTCAGGGAAACGGCATCTGCGTATGACGGCGCGGCAGCCGCCCCATTCTCTGGGCCGCGTCAGACGGAGACGCGGTGTCACGGGACAACCACTCGGGTCAGAGCACAGTCACCGAGACGGATGCCAACATTGCGCCGCTCTCAGTGACTTAGAAGGCAGGGTACGACTGCCAAAGGCTCATTCAGTGATTAGGGAAATTCGCTTGCGTGCGGCGCTATAGATCGTCAAAGAGGTGACACGATCCTACAAAAGGATTCGAGATCTCACTTTGATTGGGGTCACCCGTCGTCAAAATTTGGTAGCGATGGACGACAAGGCATCCAATGAGCTTATTTTTTATGTGAATGGAAATAAGGTAAGCACAAGTCTATAAGCCGTTTTACGTTTATTGCTCGACGATCAGCCTCAGAACTCCAGCTAATTTAAACAATCGTCCTATATTCTTCAATCCCTCTCGTTTATTGTCGTCTGAGTGCTTATGATCATCATGATCACGATTCTCTCTTCCATGTTTTAGGTGCAAGTTTCATCACCGGACCCAGAATGGACGCTTCTCTTCTTCCTCAGAGACAAGCGTAAGTTACGCGTGCTACGGTAAGTCGAAAACAGACTGATTGCGATTTCCCATAAGTCTTATGGGTCCAGAAGGTCATGGAGTCCAGGCCAAACAAACGTAATTGTTATGACATGATAATATATGATCATATATCTATATGATATATAGATGTATGACCATTAGAAAAGTATTCATGATTCATTTTTCAGTCAGGGATAACGCGCAAATTGATGTTATTGTTTACCTATGTAGAACAGAGACTTTTCAAATTCACGCTTTAAACGTTTAAACCTTTGTGAAATATCAGGGTGAAAAAGGCCATTCGTAGTTCTTACCCGTCTCAAGCAATCGTATCGAGTCAACTTAAATGACTTTGATATTAATTATTATAAGTTAAGCGACCTTCTCCTGGAAATTTCCGAAAAATAAACTGCTGTTTTACATGTGCATTCGGGCACAGCCATCATCGGATGTATATTGCCAAATGAAGAATGTGATATTTCTGATATTTTTGATTCTACGTGATATTTCTGGGACTTCGATATTACCGCAATCCTAATTGAAAATTAATTTGTTTACATCCAGAGTTTGTGTTAACACTCCAAATGCAACTATGTATAAACATCCTTCAGCTTTCTGTCTTCTGGTTCCCAACGGTGTTATATCTAAATGATAAAATTATTTAACCGCTCGAAGGTTGAAAAATCTTTTAAACGTCTCGCCTATCGGCTCGACGATTTGTTCTACCTACTCGCGGTTTAATATATATTATCCCGCACCGTAGACAGTGTTTACAATTGCTTCACGTGCAAAGAGAAAAATTATCAGATGTCGCTTAACTGATTTGTTAATGTCTAGTGCCGATTAACAAACTGTTAAACGTCTAGTAGACATTTCTGCCATTTAACCGTCTCGTTATTTTCACTAGTATGCGCAGGGAAACGCAATGAAACATCATTTTCCTTTTCTTTTTTAGTTCTATTTTGGACTTCATCTTCAATGTACCTGTCAATTTCAGACCGATCACATTGTTTGGACCGTTTTTCAAAGCTTCATCTGTCTGCTTCTCGTTGTCTCTGGCTCTGCTGAAATATGTCGTATTTTAATATAAAATGTATTTTTTACCTTTAAGCTCCCGAAAGATATCGGCAGTACGGAATAAAATTATTAAACCGCTCGTAGGTAGAAAAATATTTTAAACGTCTCACCTATCGGCTCGACGTTTAAAAGATTTATTCTGCCTATTCGCGGTTTAATATATATTAAACCGCGAGTAGAAAGAACAGATAATTTTCTTTCTTTGCGCGTGAAACAATTGTAAACAGTGTCTGTGGTGCGGGATAAGACTTTTTAAACAAAGCATTTATTGATCCTAATGTATTTCATCGACTTATTGCTTAGTTGACCCTCAACGGGATGCAAATCCGCTATAGCTGCGCTTTTTAGACCGTTTAGTCTCGAACACAAATAGTGTAGCAGCTCATTGCCGGCTACTTATTCAAGCAAAAAGTACCAATTTTCTTCATGTATCAGGTACCGGAAAGAATAAAGTGAGAAAACACAGAAAGTAAATGCCCTGCATTTACTTTTCCCGGATCTTTTGTTGCACATACCCATCAGCTGCTGGACGGGAGTCTACGAAAAAGAAGCGGAAACGTATTCGTAAAGAATATTATGTATGCAACATAGGTGGCGGAACGGGGGGCACCGGGGTACCGTGTCCCCTGATTTTGGCATTTTTACATTAGCCCTATGGGCGTTGCATGGAAAGAATGGGGCCAAAAGTCAGCAGTGCCCCCCCCCTTAATTGAAGGTGTTCCGCCACTACTGACATGCAATAGGTATGTATATTTGTTTTCAAATGTGTGACATGTACAGGTCTCGCGGGTTTTAGCGGTAGGTTTTGCACCTAGAAAATTTAGTGTACTTCAGGCTATATCTTCGTCGTCTTAAGGTTTTAAGTGTTGAAGATGCGATCGACATGTTGGTTCACAAGCCGGCCATGATCGTATAAAATGGCTTCATCGTAGATCGATTAGTTTCTGAGATATAATCGTAAATGTAAAAGTGCAAAACCTACCGCTTAATCTTGCTAGAGCCGTACCTAACTTAAATCAGTCAACAATGACTGTAGTAATAATAGTACCTACAGAGCATATATTCAATCGATGATGCATTTGATTGCCGTTTTCAGTTATTAGGTAGGTATAAGGTTTAAAGTAGGCACAACTTGAAAGCCCTATTTTATTTTTTACAATGATCTGTAATTTACTTAGTTTAAGGTTATTCGATATGAATAACACACCAAACCAACATCGTAAATAGACACACATCAAATACAATCGATAATAGATTGACACACACCAGAGGAAGAATGATAATATGAGCGTTAGACCTACTGGAATCATGAACTTTCCCTGACGATATCCCGCCCTCTGATGAGCGTAACTGCGCATCACATCCGGAGTTGTTATAGTGGGGGCCCAGGGCACGTGCCCTGCGAGACACCACCCGGGCCAGACGGCGGCGCCCCATGACCGCCGGTATCTGCCAAACTGCCAGGCGCCGGCCAGCCCACCAGGCTATTTACATTATAAGGGGGAGTGGCGCTCCGTACCGTCAACACGTGTCACTGGCGGAGCGTGGGTTTGACAGTGCGGTTGGCAGTCTGATAATGAGACAAATGTATCATATAGAAACGCATATGAGTGCATATTGCATACTGCAGGATAATAATTAATGAAATTGCTATAATTCAGTTGAAACACGCATGCAGATAGCTGGTTTGCTTTAAATTCTCGCCCGCATGGGGGGGTTCGAAAGCACCCCCTCATGTTACATGTTTCTAGGCCAGTTTTTGGAGCTGAAAACGAAACTTCAGTATCCTTGAGTTGATCAATTTTACACCTACCCTGAAAATGTCATGACCCTGACCCACATGGCCTTTGACCTGTGACATACTTTTCGAGACCATGTTTGGCCGGAATCGCGATTCGGCGTTTGTCGGCTCGCATTAGCCGCGCTTTTGCAGTATTTTCGTGTTTCAAGCGTTCAAACATATGATGTGATGTTGCCCCCATGCATTAGGGTGGGTGCCAAGGTCACCTGAAGGTCAGGTCAGGCCATTGACCTTTGATGACCTCGGTTCACTTTTTCGAGCTTTACATGTTTCTAGGCCAGTTTTTGGAGCTGAATTCGAAATTAGCAACCATATGAACATTAACGAAGTTGTTTTGGTGCCTTCGTAACATGTTACGAAGCTGTCAGAGGCGGTTGACACCTACTACGAATACCCGGCAGGACCCCTACTGGATGACCTGACCTGACCTGACCCGACCTGGCCTAAATGCATGAAGACATCATATCTGTGATTAAAACTAACATGATATTCGTGATCAGCACCCCGAAAAACCCCATAGCAGCCACACTTTACGACGTTCTAACAGGTCCCGATTTTTCCGACTTTTGGGTCATTGACCTGACCTGGAAGGTGAACCAATGACCTAGGACCTTAAAAGTGGGTATCATCGGCTTCCTCTCGTCACGGGCAGCACGCTCGTTTTTTTCCGCGAAGCTCTAGCTCGATCCGGGGCGAAACGGCAAGGGGAGGGGGTCCAACCGACCCCCTCCCCTTATACGTTCCCGGCTGGAAAAACACCAATACGGGCGAGGGTTAACATGGTGTACATTTTCAACAACTCAAATCATATTTACCGGGTCTGCCGTCTGAGCGTTGCTCAGCCAGCTTCTTCACAAAGAGATGTTGCTTATCTAATGAAGGTATGTATTAAAAGGAGCTTGCTCCGCAGAGCAATTGAATCACTATAGGTATAGTCGCTTAGTAGTCGCTGAGTGTTAAACATTATATTTGCTCAAATTACAGCTAAAGCGGCGTCATTTGGTCAGAGTGTTGACGTTCAGTGCGTCTTTGTTGCAGTGCGTCTCACAGGGACGAAGCTGGTCTGCGGAGAGGGTGGCTGCGGCGCCTGTACTGTCATGGTCTCCAAGTATTCTCCGGACAGAAAGAAAATTGTGTATCCTTTCATACAATAGCTATTTCATTCACTGACCTAGGGTGTGTTTGATTGTTGTAGCATTTTCGGATAAAGACATTTTAATTTTAAAATATCAGACTTATGATACCTATTACCTAGGCATAACACCCTGACCAATTATTCATTCGTTTGAGAACACGAATGAATGAATAAATTTACGAATGATTGAATGAACGAACTAATGTTTGATTGAGCAAAGGAGCGCAGGTTGAATAACGAATAAATGAACTAATTAATTAATCAACTAATAAATAAATTAAGTTATGAAGTACTGACCAAGGAAATGAACGAAGAGTGAATGAATGGATGAATGAATAAATGAATGAATGAAGGAAGGAATGAACGCATAGGTAGGTATCTCGCGCTCTCCGCTCCGTTCTGTTTCCTGAGCCGACCCGCCGCCGACCGACCAGTCACCTGTCGGTGAACGCCTGTCTGATGCCGCTCTGCGCCGCCCACGGGCTGGCCGTGACCACTGTCGAGGGCATCGGCTCCTCAAAGACGCGTCTTCACCCCGTGCAGGTCAGTGCTGCCGGCCCGAGTGCCACCCCAGGGTGTCGTGGACTAATTTAATACCATCATAATGTCAGCGCGCTGTATATATGTGGTGACACGTGGGGACGAAATGATGACTGATGTTGTCATCTTTAGCTCGATAGGTCAATGTGTAGGGACGAGTTGAATCGTGGTACTGGTGATGACCTAACTTCCGGCTTCGTTTATTGTCATTTGTGTAAATTTAGCTCAACGACTTTGCAAAAACGATAAATCAGATGATTGATGTCTTTAACAGCGGACGTATACTTACCTACCACATGTAGGTAAGTATACGTCCGATGTTTGCAGTATGTAGAACGTGCAAACATCCGTCCGTTAACGAAATCATAATTCATTATCAGAGATGCTAAGCAAGTCGCTGGCCATCAGATTAACGATTAGCTCTGTTACGTTGGGACATTGAAAAATGAATGTCATGAACAAAAACGATGCAAGCATAGATTGTAAACTATCTTAAGTGTTTACTCAGAACTATATAATAAATCGCATTTTATAAGCCCACATACCTACAGCGCAACGGTCTCTCGCAAGATCCCCCGTTTATTATGTTTTTTTTTCTCTGAGCATAGCACCAGTGGGAACCAGACAATTCAGGGAATGTCCAGCTTTCAAGTGCACATACCTACCAGTCATTAACACACTTTTGTAATCACAGTCGCGTCTGGCCGGGTCTGTGCAATGTCACAAAGGACACAGTCCAGAGAGGCCACGTAAACGGAAACTCCAGCCACCTCTGTTCGATAACTCGAAGGCGATAAGTCGGATACCTAGAACCAAAGCGTGACCTGGGTGGAACTATTACGATGCTGTAACAGTTCAGTGTAGTGAGAAATGTTTCGAGAGTATACTTAAATGGATGACGTCTAAAAAAATCGGTATCAATGCTAAACTCTCTACATAATACGCTGAAAAGCGAACCCATTATAAAAAATCAGATTTTTTCATTTATTCTAACAATCACACATTCATACCAACAAACAATCAAAATATTCATATAAGCCGTTTCCGAAAAATGATGCGAAGTGGTGCTCTTTGATTTATTATTCGCGTCGATCGAGAAAAAAAAAACGATGCACGTAATCGTACAAAATATTAACATTTTCAATATGCCTTTAGCCTTAAATGTGAAAAGTTTTAGAATGAGCGCCATTAAATCATTCCAGCGTCCACCCAACACCAGGATCTCCTCTAAGTCCAGTCTCTCTGTTTCCGACGGCCGTCCGCCGTGTCCCCCACAGGAGCGTCTGGCCAAGTCACACGGCTCGCAGTGCGGCTTCTGCACGCCCGGCATCGTCATGTCCATGTACACCCTGCTCAGGAACCGGCCGCAGCCGTCCATGCAGGACGTCGAAACATACATGCAAGGTGAGAATCAAGTGGATATCCGTCTGATCAGGTTTACATGGTGGTTGATTATCTCAGTAGACAGTATCGGTCCTGCATTCAGAATGGCCGCTCTAATCTCGAGAATTTCCTAGATGCTTCTTCGAATCGTTATGGCGATGCTTAAATGGTACCGAATCCAGCATGATTTTCCCTTCACACATTCGGAGACCTCAATGCGGGCCGGCAGGTAACTTGTGCCGGTGCACCGGCTACCGAGCGATCCTGGACGGTCTGCGGACGCTCACCACCGACTCCGGCGGCTGTGGCGCGCAGAACTGCTGCCGGACCAACGGCAGCAGTGGATGTGGACCGGGAGACCGACAGACGAACGGAACGGGCTCCGGAGAGAACGGGACGAACTCCAGAGAGAACGGCGCGGGCTCCGGACTAAACGGAACGGGCTCCAAAGAAAACGGAACGGGCTCCGGAGTAAACGGGACGAACTCCGGACAGAACGGGACCGGCTCTAGGGAGAACGGGACGGGCTCAAGACAGAACGGGACGAGCTCAAGACAAAACGGGACGCCTACCAACGGCGCTTACCGGGAGGAGGACCGCGTGGGCACCTCGCTGTTCGACACAGAGAGACTGACGCCGTACGATCCGTCCCAGGAGGCCATCTTCCCGCCCGAACTGATGGTGAGGAAATGATTATGTGCTTATATTCACGCGTCATTACAGGACTGCTTCATCTTTAATTAATTCAGCTTGGATACAAAAGCAGCTGACTTACATATGACTATATAAACGCATCAACTGACGGTGAAACAATGTTTACGCGTTTAGGCCCTTTGACGGAGCTAAAAGGACCACTAAAAGTTGTTTTTTCTGTGACACATCTTTTTTCGTTTATCAAAAAGGTGACTATAAGAAAGCTTTCAGCCAACTGTATAGTGGTAGTTCAGATGACTGATTACGAGCGAGCGAGCGCAGCGAGCGAAGCGAGTCTTTTCAATATAACGGAAAAATCTCAGTATGAGCGGCCCGGCCCGGCCCGGCCCGGCCCGGCCTGTAACGCTTTTGAGAGGCTTATATCTCAGCAATCGCTGGACCGATTGGCCTGCGGTCTTTTTTTTTGGGTAGCCCCATCCCTTCTACCCCGTAATTGACTACATTTGATCAAGGGCGGATCTAGGGGAACGTTTTGGGGGGGGGGGGGGGTCACAAGTCAGCCGACATGCCGGGTCTGATGGATGAATTCTGACGACCGGGGGGGGGGGGGGGGGGTAGGGAGCGAGTATGTCGAGATCAAAGGACATTTGATCTTCGTCGTTTCTAAGATGAAGTTTTATCGTTGTACATAAGTCACTCGGCTAAGTAGTCTTAGTTAGTGAAACCCACCTATACAGGGGAGACGCTACGGATTTCATTTTTTACTGGGGGTGGATCGACCGACTTAAAAACCCAGAAGTAGATATAGTTACCTCACTTTTAGCCTAATGCATTGGTAGCATACAGTCACGATCTCTCTTATTGACCTGTGTAGGAATCGGCGGCGCGAAGCGCCGCGAAAATTTGCAAAAAAATTGTCAAAACACAGTTCTAAAACACAAATATTACCTACAACCCTTTTAGCATGCTAGTACAAGCCGGAGTTCCTTCACAGTACACATACCTATGAATTCCGATTCAATTTGACACGGTTGGTGTTATTACAGTCACGATCTCTCTTATTGATTGGTGTATGAATCGGCGGCGCGAAGCGCCGAGAAAATTTGCAAAAGCTGTTGTCAAAACACAGCTCCAAAAAACACAAATTTACCACCCTTTTAGCATGGCAGTACAAGCCGGAATTCCTTCACAGTACACATATGAATTCTGATTCAATTTGATACGGTTGGTTGGTGTAATTACAGTCACGATTTAGTATTGACCTGTACGTACATGAATCGGCGGCGCGAAGCGCCGCGAAAATTTGCAAAAAACATTTGTCAAAACACAGAGGGGGCCTCCTTTCTACAGAGGACCACCTCTCTACTGCGGGCCTCCTCTTTTCACGGGGCCTCTCAACTACAGAAGGCCCCCTCTCTACTGAGGGTCTCTCCCTTTCAGAGGGCCTCCTTTACAGAGGGCCTCCTCTCTTCAAAGAGCCTCCTCTCTACAGAGGACCTCATCTCTGCAAAGGGCTTCCTCTCTTCAGAGGGCCTCCTCTCTACAGCGGGTCTCCTTTCCACAGAGGGCCTCCTCTCTACACAGGGCCTCCTTTCTACATAGAGCCTTCTCTCTACAGATGGTCTCCTCTCTACAGAGGGCCTCCTAGTCCTCTCTAAATGGGCCTCCTCTCTACAGGGGACCTCCTCTCTACAGAGGGCCTCCTTTCTACAGAGGACCTCCTCTACAGAGGGCCTCCTACCTACAGAGGGCCTCCTCTCTACTGAGGAGTCAGAGGGGCGCTAGCGGTCAGACACAGACACTAGCGGTTATTCACAGGAGGCCCCAGGAAGCAAGAAGGACCCTAGCTGTCAGGCTGGTCAGAGGGCCCTGAATGTCCTGACGTGTTTTTTTTGGGATTCCCGTGAATTTCTTTCGCCTCCGACGTGATTTGGGCCCCGTGGGCCTTCGGCGCCCCACGGGGGCCTCCTGAAACCCCAATGGGGGGCCCGTCCGCCCCCCTCTGGGTACGTCCCTGGGGCCCACGCCGGTCTTCAAAGGTCCAAATTGCCCCTTGAGTCCCATACTGGCCAGTGGCCCGATGGTCTTATGATGGCCTTTGAGGTTTCTCACCGGCTTCAGAGGGCTCACATCGACCTATGAGGGCCCGCGCTGGCCTCCGAGGGCGCAAAATGGGCCTATTTCGGCATCTGAGGGACTCCGACTGCTTTTTGGGTGCCTACTGCCTCAGGCCGGTGAGGTGAGGGTCCCTACCTGTCTCTGAAGGTCCCATTTCGACATTCGAGCTCCTTATTTTGGGTCACAGCAGAGGCCCATGCAGTTCCCTTAAGGCCCAATGCCGACGGTCATATAGCCGCTTCTGATAGTCCCACGTCCTCTTTTGAAGGCACCTCAGGGGTCACCAGAGGCCTGCCAGGGGCACCACCGGCCTCGCAGGGGCACCATGGGCCTATCAGGGGCACCACATGGGGCACGGGCCTGTCGGAGCGGAGGCACTTCAGGCTTGTCAGGGGCACCACAGTCCTGTCAGGGCCCAGGGGCCCCAGCGGTTTAGCAGGGGCACCACAGGTCCTCCAGGGGCACCACAGGCCTGCCAGGGCCCAGGGGCACTAAAAATAAAGTAAACAATATAAAAAATGGAAATAGGGCATCACCAAAATTAAGTGGCCGAAATCCGTTGAGTTTTTAATTTTGGGTATAGGTGGGGCACCACGAATTAAATTCATGACCATCCCCTTGGAGTTTTCCTGGATCACCCCTGGTGCTCGCACGGTTGAGACAAAACGAGTAAGATTCTGGCTTTCAATACGCCTTTTCACGCAACACGATCCAGTAAAACAAAGGTATTAGTTCAGAAGTGTTTGCCAGGTGATTTTGAGCATGCAAGACGGCGTCTATAACGCATTTGGGTCTTCGGCTTTTGGGGGGGTCAAATGACCCTCTCAGACCTTTTGGGGGGGGGGGGTCATGACCCCGTGGACCCCCCCCCCCCAGGATCCGCCACTGCATTTGATACACCACAGTGACGGTCGTGGCACGTGCCACGTGAAAAGTTAAGGGTGTTCAAGTTGTTTTGCAAAAGTAGTGATTTTGAGAGGCTCATATCTCAGCAGCCGCTTGGGCGATTGACTTGCGGTAATTTTTGTAGGGTAGCAGCATCCCTTCTACCCAAAATAGGATACTCTCGATGCATGTGGGTCACCCCCAGTGCACGTGCAAAATACAACAATAAGAGGTGTCAAATTTGTTCCCATTTCAGTAACTCGGTAATTACTGGGGCGATTTCGCTGAAACTTGGCATACAGGTAGGCACCCACCAGGCAATGCATTCCCATGTGTTGCGGTTAGGGTGCTACTGCACGTGCGCACGTGCAGGGGGCGCTTCCAGATCTCGAGAACGGCTGGGCCGATTGCGCTCAAATTTGGTACACGGCTGGGGACCAGTTAGTAGGGTGCCGTGCAAAAGTCAGTTTGGACCCCGTTTGCACGTGCGCACGTGCAGAGTGCCGCTTCCAGATCTCAGGAACGGCTGGGCCGATTGCGTTCAAATTTGGTACACCGCTAGCGACCGGTTAGAGGGGTGCTTTGCGCAAGCCCGTTGGAAGTACCCTCTCGCTCTTCCGCACATGCAGGGCTCACTATCTCGCTCGCTCGTTCTTCGCCCAAAAGGCGTTTTACTGGTAAAATAAAAGCTGGTGACTCAGTGAACAATCACAACTAGTTGGTGTTGCCGTGGCCCCACCTTCATCATACCAGGCGAGGTCGCTGACATTACGCACACATGTGTAGTCAAACATACAGACGCTCATGGTCCATCAGTTCATCGTTTTTTGGCCCATTGTTTACCGCCCCAGAACAGAGAGACTAAAAAGTCTGAGACTAAAAACAGGGAGAGTGCTGTGTTTCTAGTGACAGATGAGACCGACAAGGTAAATAAGCTGATGATTCAGATAGTTTTTGAGACAGTCATAATAAATCTTCCAATCCTGCTGCTTTCAAGTGGAATACTAAGGGACGATACAACGACAATCTAGATCGCGTTTTAGCTGAGCCACGTTGGAACTGGGTTAGAGCAAGGTTTGAAAAACTGGTAGGAACCGATCAGGTAATACTGGATGTACTCCTCATCACTCGAGTAACTGTTAGTTAGTAACTTTAAAAAGGAGTGTTATCCCCGCCAGCTGCGACCGGACTGGGTGAGCCGACCTCTGAAGTTCAGCGGACCGCGGGTGACCTGGCACCGACCCGCCACGCTGAGCGAGCTTCTGCGACTGAAGGCCGCCTACCCAGACGCCAAACTGGTCAACGGCAACACTGAAATCGGTGAGAATCGGCCTCACAATGCATAGGCGGCGGAACGGGGGGGGCACCGGGGCACCGTGCCCCCCCTTGAATTCTGCAAGGGGGGCACCAATAGCAAGGTGCCCCCCCTTAAATTTGATGTAGTACCAGGGGCGGATTCGGGAAAACTCCAAGGGGAGGGTCATGAATCGAAGTGGTGCCCCTACCTATGCCCAAAATTAAAACCTCAACGGATTTCGGTCACTTAATTTTGGTGGTGCCCTATTTTCAGTTTTTCCTTTATTTTTGGTTAGTCATGTGATGACTGGTGCCCCTGCTAGGCCGCTGGTGCCCCTGGAAAGACTGTGGTACCTACCTACCCTGCCCCCTGACAAGCCTACGGTGGGCCCTGACATGACTTAGGTGCCCATGGGCCCTGACAGGCCCGTGGTGCCCCTGACAGGCCTGTGGTGTCCTTGCTAGGCTTGTGGTGTCCCTGGGCCTTAGCAGGTTTGTGGTGCCCCTGTTAGAACGCAGGTGCCCTTGACAGGTTTGTGGTGCCTCTGACAATCCTAAATTGCCAACGACAGGCTTGTGGTGCCCTTGACAGGCCCATGGTGCCCTTGCGAGGCCGGTGGTTTCCCTGCGAAGCCGATAGTGTCCCTGACAGGCCTCTGGTGCCCCTGGCAGGTCTGTGGTGCCCCTGGAAGACCTGTAGTGCTTTTTCTAGGCCGATGGTGCTCCTGACAGGCCTGTGGTGCCACTGAGAGGCCCGTGGTGCCCCGGCTAGGCCTTTGGCACCCCTGGCGGGCCTGTGGTGCCCCTGTCGGCTGTCAGGCCTGTGGTGCTCCTGGCAGGCATGTGGTGACCCCAGGCCCTAAGTCATGACCCATGTTACCTCCACCCTGGGATTCGCCACTGATTAGTACTGCGATGGCTTCTTGGGAATTATACATGTAGGATAAATGGAATTTATCAAACGACAATAAGAAAGAGACAAACACATTGGTACTTGAGGATCAGCTTACAGTTAACCACACATACGGGCAGGGGTGTAATTTTCCTAAAATGATTGTGGGTGCCCAGCTGTAGGGGCGCCCAGCGCCAGGCCGTTTTGGGGCGCGATAGATATTCTTTATGTGGGAGCCTAAATTAACACCGAATTTGATAACATTGCTAGCCGAATGGCGCTTCAAGTGACGTGTCTGACTAAGTAAATACACGCTTAAAAGTGGACACTGACCGGAAGGACGTAAAAAATATGTAGAGAGGCGCCATCCAGTAGGAGGGGCACCAAATGTGGAGGCGCCAGACGGTTACGACTTACGAGGGCGCCGTGAGACGATGAAAAGGGCGCCATTCTCTTAGGAGGGCGCCGAGTGATTGAAAACGCTATGTGGTCCAGGGGCGCTAAGAGGCCAGAAGGGCGCCGCACAGTCAGTAGTGCTACGTTGGTGGGGACGTGGGGGCGCCAGATGGATACTAGGGCGCCTTGAGATCATGAAGAGGGCGCCATTCTCGTAATAGGGTGCCGAGTGATTGAAAACGCTATATGTGGTTCAGGGGCGCTGAGAGGCCAGAAGGGCGCCGTTAGACCATGAGAATGGCGCGGTGCTGTCAAAAGTGCGCCATTCTCCCAGAAGGGCGCCGACGCCGAGTGATTAAAAACGCTATAATCCATGAACGCGAGACGGTCAGGAGGACGCCGTTAGAGCATGCGAAGGGCACCGTGCTCTCGAAAGGACGCTTGCAGCCTTGTAAAAAACTTGTCGGTGCTTTTTCATCATTGTGGGGGCATAATTCAGGATTGTGGGTGCATATGCCCCCACAAAGAGATATAAAATTACACCCCTGCATACGGGGGTGAACTGCCATTTTCGTTTAGTTAAAAAAAAATAATAAAAATAAAAAAATCATCGTGTCAGGGCTGTGACGAAAAATAAGTGGCCTAAATCCGATGAGAAAACAGGATTTGGGGGTACCCTAGGTTTGGCTCCTTGAGCCATGGTGCCCCCCCTTGTCTCAAATCGTTCCGCCGCCTATGTCACAATGGTCGCGATTCAGTTCAGGCCACAGCCTATGACCGACATACCTGCCAAAAGAGATAAAAAACAGCCTTTTTGGATGTAGCTTTACTGCCTGATACTATGAGGTGGCAAACATCACCACACCGCCGTTTCGCTACGTCGGCAGGTGTTGAGGTGAAACTGAAGCGATGCGAGTACCCGGTGCTCATCAACCCGGGTCAGGTGACCGAGCTGACCTCCGTGACCTGGGACGAAGACGGCGTGACCTTTGGCGCGGCCGTGACCCTGTCGGACATAGAAGCGGAACTGCAGGCGGCGCAGAGCCAGCAGCCTGGTGAGACGTTAGGGGGATTTAATGGAACAACGGCGAGAATACTATTGCCTTTCCGACAATCATATTGAGTGATCTACATTTAATCATTGGGAAACGCTACTGTTTGCTCTAACATAGCCTCCAAATACCGCAAGCTATTTTTTCGTGTAACTTAAAATAAAGTTTAATGTTTTTTTTGTTACATATGAAATGGTGCACGCACTTCAGGGAACAAAAATAACTTTTATTATGTCCTTTCATGACTGTGATAACTTGCGATCACCCCTAAATATCATACACCTAACCCCAATGTTAATTTCGGTCGTTTGCAGCCTGGAAGACCCGAGTTTTCTCTGCTATAACAGAGATGCTGCGCTGGTTCGCCGGAACACAAATTCGAAACGTCTCTGTGAGTACCGCAGTATTTTTTCCGATAGTTAAAGCCGTGATTAAGGTGATGAAAAAGACAATTATATGTAGAGATCACCCGGCGACCGCAAACTGCAGCACTTTTTCACACAAAATACACTTCAACAGTAACTGTGGACAACGGATGCCGTAAATCCACCCATTGTCTATGAAGACATCCGACTGGAATCTGCGGCTTCACAGGCGATCGGAGGGAATATCATGACGGGCAGTCCCATCTCGGACCTGGTGCCCCTGCTGATGTCGGCCGACAGCCAGCTGACCCTGATGACGTCATCCGGGGAGCAGAGGACGGTCCCGATCCGCGGCTTCTACACGGCTTACAGACAGAACATTGCCAGACCTGACGAGATTCTGCTCTCTGTCACCGTGCCGTACACGGCTGAGGTAAGAGAAATCGTTTTTTTTTTTAAGCCGTTAACTAGCATCAAAGTGGCACTCGAGGAAAAAGGCCGCCTAGGTAGCTTTGAAATAGTAAGTTGAAATATAACTTGAAAAGGCGACGAAGAACCGTTACAACTATCGAAGGACACGGATCACTAAACAAATTAGGAACACAACAACGGAGACATGAAAGGAATCTCAAACGGAGTCTGTTTTTGCAATCATCACCTTGAGACATCGCCATTTTTACAACTGCAGGACGAGTTTTTCATGGGCTTCAAGCAGGCGCATCGACGAGACGACGATATAGCCATCGTGAACGCGGGCTTCTTCGTCCGGATCCGCGACCAGAAGGTCCGCACTTTCCGCGCTACGTACGGAGGAATGGCAGCGACGGCGGTCTCCGCAACCAAGACGGAACAGGCACTCGTCGGCAGGCAAGTTGACCTGATGGGCAAACGAGGCTAGCTCGTGTGACCTGTGTAGTGTGTACTGCCTCATGTGCATTGATGGTGGTGAAGAACATGAGGTCCGCCTGTCGTGTCACGTGATTGCCTCCCCTGTGT